AGAATGCGAAATTAAATAAACTGAAGATTTAAATATAAAATTGATTAACAAAAAATTAAAATAACACAACATTTAACAATAAACTAATTAAGAAGAACCTAAGGCGTATGGTTTCACCTTTACAATTCTTTATATTATCTTTAAGATTAATTCTAATTTCAGTTTCCGTATAATTATCAATCACTCATACTAAATCTATTAACACTCAATGATTATATAATGTTAATAATCTTTTTCCTTAGTTATTACCCCAATGATCAAGCAAGATAAAAGAGAGAGAAAACATAAAGAGCCTATGAGCTATTAAGTTAATAACGATTGAAAGAGAAGAGAATTAAGTTTGGTCCATCTAATTCTTTATCTCATTTTACCTTATAAATCTATTAACTATATATGATACATATAACACCCTCTTTTTATTTATTTATTTATATATTTATTTATTTGTACTTTGATAAGTTGTTTGATATTGGGTATAGTTGGAAGGTTTTTCTTTTTTTTTTAATTTGAATTGATAAATGTTTGATAAAATTATGGTGCAGGGGATCTCGTTCAAACAAGATTGAATGTCCAGAACCACATAATTTTAGGGCAATCTCGCTCAAGCGAGAACAGGATAAACTTGGCCCAAGACATCTTTATATTACATGTTTTGAACAAAATTTATTTAATTTCTTTGTATTGTTATAAATTATTATATAATTCTAGACAAGTGATCAATGTCAATTCCTCATCTTTCTTTTTACTAAGATACAACAAGCTATTCAACCTTCTTTGGTCATAAACCCTACTTCAATAGTCCTCAAGGTTACATTTTATCTCTTTTTCATTGTAATGCAGTGTCCAATCGTTCTTTCAATCTTTGGATAATCCTTATGTCAAATTTCTTTAGCACTTAATCAAATCTTGTTTCTCAATTGAAGTTCGTAGTTCCTTAGGATTTGTTTGGAAGTTTGGAGAAAGGAGACAGAAAAAGATTTGAGCAGTAAAAGAATATAAGAGAAAGGAAAGGAAATTAAGGTATTAAAAAACCTTCAAATTGGGAGATCTTAAAATATGAGGTTATGAGAGTTTTAAAGAGTTTAAAAATTCTTCTCCTCTCATCTAAAAGTCCTCCAACAAGGATACCCTTGCTCAAACGAGAATTCACGAGAAAAAGAGGTATTTAAGTGATTTTGGTATTCTAAAAACACATATCTCAAAGAAAGAAATAATTTTCATCTCTCTCTCTATTCTCTCACTTCCCTTCCTTAGAGAAAACTCCCTTGAACCCTAAATTTCTTCCAAATTTGAGCTCTAGTATCATTTTCTCTTGATCTCAAGTAAGTTCCTTGGAGTTTAAGCTTTCAATCTCACTTATATTTATCTATTTTCTCCTTTCTTAAAAGTACTTTATTTCATAATGTATAGGAAGAATTTGGTCTTTGGACAATATCTTCTTCAAAATGTTGCACTTTCTTTTGAATCTTAAGGAGATCTTGGTCTCAGAGACATCATCTCTCATCCCTTTGGTTGTGAAAGACCTATTTCCAGATAAAGGGAGTTGATTCTAAACTCTAACTCCTATTTATGTATTTTGCTTTTAAAAACTCCATTTATTTCTTCTTTTGAATTATAAAACTATATTTTCTTAAAACCTCAGTGTTAAGAATGAAATTTTGGGCATGAAAAATCTATGGTTGATTCTGGAACTACCTAAATAAAATCTCATAATAAAAGCTTTGAATAAAACTATTTTAAGGAGTTTTATGATTTTACTATCAATCATTATATATGTACAGTTAATATTATAAAATTTTATTTTGAATAATATGTGTACTATGAATGATGCTAAACTTTAGGATATAAAATTTTATTTAAGACTGAGGGAGTATGATCTTCGACAATGTATTTCTAAACTGTACAATTGGTTTGAGTTCGAAGGTGTCTGACCTGCAACATATTATATTGATTTATATGAGTGAAATTGGTTGAATACGTTAGAAAGACTATTGGTGTGTGTGATTATGTACGTTCTTTTATTTTGGAAATATGAATTGAGATTATGGTTGTTTGTTTAAAGTATTGAATGACATGGCATGGTGAAATTGTGTTATGATAAGGAAAACAAATAATGAAAATTGTACTATCATGAAAAGTGATGAAAGAAAATAGAGGTGAATATTGAGAATTACTGAGAAAATGTGTCATGAAAAATTGACTAAAATATGTATAGATAGTTACAAAGATATACTGGAGTATAGAATATAGAGAATTGAAAAATATGAAAAAACTGTAGGGTGATGAATGACATTCGCTTGTAGGTAGACAATCTAAATAGTGTGAATCACATGACTTCACACTCATTTCCTAACTAGACATCTGACTATATTTTTGCTAAGGGATCCTATATTGTAATACGTTGTATCTGTGTGCAAGGGCTAACCAACAATTATCTATACTTATGGAATACCCCAAATGATCCTAAGGGTAATGATTGTAAAATTGTGAGATGTGTGTTTATAATATGTGAGTTATAATAGATTGATTGGTATGATTATGATACATATATTGTAATACATCGAGTCATAATAGATTGATTAGTATGATTATGATATATACATTGCAATACATCAACGAGTGTAGATATAATACATATATTGTAATGTATCGATTAATGTGATTATAATGCACATATTATGACATGTTGATCTATGTAAGAATATATGAAATGACATGATCTTAATATATATTTTGAAATATTAATGTTGTGATTGTTATGATATTTTATCGGTTGAAAATTATTTAGTATAGTATATAAGCTAGGATTATTTTGGTGTATATCGCATTCAATGATATTTCCATATGACTTATTTCATTTATAAAATAAAGGATTTAGTGGAGCGGTAATTACTCACCCTTACAATTATTTTTCAGGAATTAAAATGAAGAATGATTCATCCTGGGATCATATTCTTAGTAACGTTGTAGGAAAGACTGCTCTTTTATAATTTAAACTAATCTAAAGATTATAATAATTTTGATTTAGTTTCTATTTTAAGTTGACAAGATTATGTAAACACTTTAGTGATAATTTTAGAATTTATAATACTTTGATATTTTATTATAAATAATAATTTGAAGTGTATTTGTAAAATTGATAGTTAGCTATTTTAATTGTAGTTTACATTCAATTTTAGATAGAAATTTACTCTGCTGAAAGGCAATGTCATTTATGTTTTAAACTTATATGTATGCAATATGAATTAAGTAAATTGTCAAGAAGTAAATCTTAATTTTTACTCTATTTGTAAATTTAAAAATTTGAAACTATTTCATATAAAATTTTTAATACCTCTAAATCTTCATAAAAATTGAATACAAGAAATATAAACTTTACTTTTCTTCAATTTTTTAAGCTATAAATATAAAAAAATCTCACTTTATTTTCCTTTCTTGTTATATATTATTATCTATATTAAATAAAAAATTAAAGATGTTACAATCATTCCCAAAAAATAACGAAGTCAAGAATTCAAGCCAAACATTATGGCTCAACATGGGTGAGCTTGTTAAAAAATTCTTATAAAAGATACAATATAAAAATTGAATAAGATCCGGTTTGAATGAACTTGTAACTAAATCCTTTCAAACGAAAAAAAAATAGTATAAAAAATAATTTTTCTTTTATAAATTAAAAATGACTTATCTCTTCAAGTTTTAGAAAAATTAAATAAGAGTAACTTTGTTAAAATAGAGAAATATAAGTCAATTTCAATTTATGAGATGAGTTTTTTTCATATTACTACTTAGGCTATAGATGGAAGTGAAGAAATTATGCGGTTAGAAGAAAAAGAATACTTGAATTGCAAATCTATGAAGTTTTGGAGTATATGATAAATTTATATTTTGATATATTTTTGTAGTCTATTTTTATATACTTGATCATTGTTTAAATAAGTTTTTCACTTCTGTTAATTATCGAGTTTAACATATTAAGAGAGAAGCCTAATTTCAAGACACGATTATTCTATCTTAAATTTCTATCGTCCACCTAAACATAGTCTTAGTTTTTAATTCTAAGTATTTATGGAGAATTCTATCCAAATTAAGCTTAAAACTTTTTTATAAATTATTTTATCAAGTTTAAAAAAATTAAATGATAGAACTTTTAAAATATATATATATAAGTTTATTTTAATTTATGAGAGAAATTTAATTCTTTTACTACTTAATTTTTAACTTCTATAAATATTTATTAAAAAATTTCTCCAAATTGATCTTGATCTTATACTAGTTCCATGTCTTTTCAATTTATTATTTATGTCATTAATTTTTTTAACATTTAATATTTAACATGTTTTATTTTGTATTAAAGAAATATATAAAATAAATTTAACTAACGGATAACTAAAATTTGAAAGTGAAGGGAGAATGGGAAGGTTTTCAAGCCACAGTACAATCATCCAATATTAACAAAATGGTAAATTTTATAGCGTCTTATAAATTAAGAGTTCATTCTATATTTTCTCACACTTAAAATATTATTATCATTAATTTTATATTAATAAATAATAAAATTAGTAATTTAATTAAAAATATAAATATTTTTTAAGTTTATGAATTCTGTAACAAGTACTTAAGAAAATTTAACTAATAAAATATTTTTAATTTAAGTACAATTGTTTCGTGTAAAAAAAGTAAAGAATTAAATGTTATAAGTTTTTTTAAAACAATTATATATAATTATATTATTTTAACTTGACTCTAATTATAAAATATAAAATAATAAAAAATTAAATAAAAAAAAAGGGTTGCAAAAGACGTATGAGTGCGAAATAGAGTTGATTTTGATATATCCAATTGCAAGGCATACGTGGCCCATTCCTACGCAACCAACGCATTTATCCACGCGGTTACACGGTTGAGACGCTCGTTTTTCGTTAGCCACCTCATCCTTAATCTTACATTTTATTATTACTCATTCTATTATTTAACTACTAATTATATTGTTATTTTGAATCTCAATTTTTTCAACACCAACGTCGCAATCTCATGTGCCCAAATTATTAATTCCCTTCTCTGTTACGTTCCTTTCTCTACTCAGTGATATTTTCTAACAAACCCCACACGCCCTTATAAAAGTAACTACGCGGGTACCCTCAAATTCAGAAGAATGCTCTACACACTCCCATGTGATATCCACTCTTTCCCTTTCTGTTTCATGTTTTTCGCTCTGCTACTGTAAATGTTGCTATGGTGATGGATTCCTGTTTCTGAACTCAATCAAGTAAAGGTGACTGTGGCGTGTGTTGTAGTGCAAAAAAGTTTGCGGAATCGTGTTCCTTGTTTGGTTTTAAAGATATCCCAACTCATACACAAACTCGTTGAACACCTTGTCATCCTAAGTTGCATCACTTGAACTCGGGATTTTGGTTGTGAGTGACTCAATCTTATGTCGCTTTCTGATAATGGAGTTTGTTTATTTTCGTTACTAACATTCCTGTGTAAGACTGAAGCAATATAGAGTTTGACTTTGATATTAATGATGAATTTGTTTTCTTTTGGGTTTGTACTTGATCTTCATTTTTGTCTGTTCTGTTCTGCTTCAATTTTGAATGGGGAAGCTTGAGTTATGGACAAAGGAAGTGCCTTGTTGTGTTTGTCATTACTCTCTGGGATAATAATTTGATGCTTTTTCTTTAATAATAGGTTGGAAGAGAGAAGGATATAATGGAGTTGTAAAATAAATTTTAAAAAAATAAAATTGGAGAGGGATGACAATGACATTATGGTAGTTTACCAACAGTTTGGTTCGAATTTGTTTTATGTGAATCTAACTAGCCCTCTTTTTTTCTTTTGCTTACACCACAGGAAGGTGTGCATTCTTTGAGCAGAAAGAAATGACAACGCTGTCAGATATAGGGGTTGCAGCTGCCTTAAACATTTCCAGTGCATTTCTTTTCTTCGTGGCATTTGCTATTTTGAGGCTTCAACCTTTCAATGATCGTGTATACTTCCCAAAATGGTATTTGAAGGGTTTAAGAACGGATCCTGTACACGGAAGAGCGTTTGTGAGCAAATTCATCAATTTAGATTGGAGAGCTTATCTTGGGTTTTTGAATTGGATGCCAGAAGCCCTTAGAATGCCAGAACCTGAGCTTATTGATCATGCTGGATTGGACTCAGTTGTTTACTTGCGGATTTACTTGATAGGGTATGCAGCATTGAGGGAATGCCACTTTTAGCAAAGCATAACATTGTAGCACTGATTTTTGTCCCTGGTTTTATTGTGCAGGCTTAAAATCTTTGTTCCTATAGCATTCCTGGCTTGGACTGTTCTGGTTCCTGTCAATTGGACAAGTACTGGTCTACAAGGAGCCCAAATAAAAAACATAACATCCAGTGACATTGATAAACTCTCAGTCTCAAATGTTCATAGTCAATCTGAAAGGTTTCAATCACCATTCAATGCCTTTTGTCTTCTAAGTAGCTTCTGTTATATTTAATTTAAGTTACCTTTTCTGTCCATCAGAATATTTATTTTTGGGTTTTTGATGACATCACTTAATTAGCCAAAATCTAATTGAATATTACTGATTCTATTTTCTATGCATCATCTCACTTGTTAAAATTATAGAGCACTGGTTGCGTACATAACAGTATCTGATGATCTAAATCATCTACTAAAATTTTGTGTACTACCTCAGGTTTTGGGGACACATAGTAATGGCTTATGCGTTTACCTTTTGGACTTGCTATGTTTTGCTAAAGGACTATGAGAAAGTTGCATCAATGAGACTCGACTTTCTTGCAGCAGAAAAACGTCGTCCTGATCAATTTACGGTAAATTTGATTTTTCATTCTGCAGTTTTATAAGAAATTGTTGTTTGTAGAACTACATGGCAGATTGTAGTTCTCTCCTGTTTATTTTTACCATAATTTGTTCAGCTTTGCAAGGAAGCAATGATATTCTGTTTTGGATTTTATGGGTTGGAGGCGTATTATACTTGGTCATTTTTCCTGGTAGACTTTGATTGCAGATTTACTGCATGCTAGGAAAAGCTCTTTGAAGGAAAATAACCGCTTAATTCTTAAAATAAACTTAACTAAACACACTAATTAGTTTGTGATACAGTTAATCACCAGAAAAATAGAAAGAGCAAATAATAAATAGTATCTAAAATGTATCTCTCTTGAACAGAAATGGTAACCAGGTCTAAACACAAACAAAGGTAAACATAAAACAGAAAAACAATACAAGAGAATATCTCACTCTCTTGCCCAAGCCTCAGCCTAATTCTTACTACAACTCTTCTCTCCCCTGCTCATGTTTCCTTTTCTCTCTTATAACCTACTTCCCATTCCACATACCCCTCATGAGTGCCCAATGTCCAGCCCACTCCACTCGGCATAACAAATCCTTCACCATGTGTCACCTTGTTACCTCTCCTGGAATATACCTTCCAAGCTGTGGCATCGCAGTTCACCTGCTGATCCATTAACTCCATCTTATTTCTAGAGTAAGTTGGCTCACGGGTCTCACCAGTTTGTTGCAATTTCTTTTATTACAACAGAGCAATCCGATCCTTATGCATTTTATACTCGACAAGTTCAGGAAAACTGCGGCCATGGATTGAATTTTGTCATACACTAGTAACTTGTAACGCCCATGCATATTTTTACTTATAGAAATATATTATACTCAGGTACTTGTTAGAAACATTCCACCAGACCCTGATGAATCTGTGAGTGAGCTCGTGGAGCACTTCTTTCTGGTCAATCATCCAGATCACTATCTTACTCACCAGGTTGGTTCCTCCTGTTTATACTAACACCGCTCAAATGGTACAATCATTTATTGTCTCATTGATTTTTGATATTATGCATTTCTATTTTCTATGTTTTGTCCAGTACTATGAGATTTGAAAGTTTAATAACAAGAAATTGCTTGGTTACCTCATTTCACCATGTGAGATGAATTCATGTTTACACATTGAAATTACATATTTATTATTAAGTAGATGTTAAATAAAAATTTAAGGATATGTTTGGATGGAGAAAATATTTTTGTTTACATTTCTTGTTTTTGCCGATTTTTACATAAAAGCCACCTAGTTTTCACCTTGTTTCCTATTTTCAGTTGTAGAGGAAATAGTGAAAACAAAATTTTGGAGTTTTTACAATTTCTTGCTTTAATTTTTCAAAACTAGAAACAAAGTGTAAAAAAGGAAACATTTTTGTAACTATTGACAGAAACAAGAACCCAAAACAAAATGTTTTTGCTTAAACAATATTAATCCCTCTAATTTTCCCGTCTATTCTCCTCACTTTTGACACCCGATATAGTATTGTTATTAAGATGGTTCATATTTACTAGTGCATAGACAAATTCGTTGATAAAGGTCAGAATTATCATTGTTTTATTCTATTTTTTTTACGGTAGAAATAGTTTGTTTAAGGCTAATTATTGTAATTGTTTATGCAGGTTGTTTATGATGCAAACAAACTTGCAAAGTTGGTTAAAAAGAAAAAGAAGTTGAAGAATTGGCTTGTCTACTATCAAAATAAATTTGAAAGAACTTCTAAAAGACCTGATATGAAGGTATTTAAATATAAATTGATATTCCCTTAAAAGTTTATCACAACATCCAGATTTTCCCTGAGCGTTCCCTCTTGTATGTTTTTGCCAGACTGGTTTCCTTGGTCTTTGGGGAAAGAAAGTAGATGCTATTGATTATCACACCACTGAAATTGACAAGTTGACAAAAGAAGTAAGAATTTTATATTTTCTTTTCTTTCAAAATTTTTATCACATTACACATGCTAATGATTTTTCAAAGTAGAGATTTTCCATGCTTATAATAATAGATTAACAAGCTTAAGAAAATTATTTTTATATGGGAATCTGACTTTAGTCTTGCAGAGTTCATACTAGGCTTTGATTTCCCATAAATTTTGGTAGTATCTTTACTTATTCACATGTGCCTCAGTGAATCAGTGTTATTCCACCTTCAAAATGTTATAATCTCATTTGGCAGCCTTTACTATCATTTTGATTGAAAGAGAGTTTTCTGAACGTTTGCTGGAATTTGTGCTAATCAACTTTGGACTACAGCAAATGCTGAAGGAACTTGTTTAACTCAAAATTTCACTCTGGTCATTTTTAAATAACCATATTGTGATTCATCACTTTTTGTTTTCTTTCTTTAAGCATTGTCTTTACAGTCGGAGTGATTTAAATTGATCACCTCTTGCAGATAGCCGTAGAGAGGGAGAAGGTCACAAATGATCCCAAGTCTATCATGCCTGCCGCATTTGTTTCTTTTAAAACACGTTGGGGTGCTGCTGTTTGTGCACAAACTCAACAAACCAGAAATCCAACACTTTGGTTGACTGAGTGGGCTCCAGAGCCACGAGATGTATATTGGCAAAACTTGCCAATTCCATATGTTTCCCTAACAGTCAGGAGATTAATCATAGCTGTTGCATTCTTTTTTCTCACTTTCTTTTTTATGATCCCCATTGCATTTGTTCAAACTCTAGCAAGTCTTGATGGAATCCAGAAAGCGGCACCATGGCTGAAGCCTCTTGTTAGCATGTAAGCCTAAACTGTTTGTTCGACATCTCAACTTATCATTTCACTTGCATTACTGGAGATTTCTTATTCAAACATATTCATTGTGCAGCCCTTTCATTAAGTCATTCATTCAAGGTTTTCTGCCCGGTATTGTGTTGAAGCTATTCCTTATCTTTTTGCCAATGATATTGATGATCATGTCCAAATTTGAAGGCTTTGAATCTATATCATCTCTGGAGAGAAGATCAGCATCTAGATACTATCTTTTCAGTTTTGTGAACATATTTCTAGGAAACATACTTACTGGAACAGCATTTCAACAGCTGAACTCTTTCATTCACCAACCTGCCAACCAGTAAGTCACTCAATATAGAAATCTCACTTTTTTCTTCTTTGTAATTATTACTTTGTAAATTGGCATTACTATATTCCTGTGTTGTGGGTACCTTTAATATGCTTCTGCACCATATTACATCACTCTGATAAGATCCAATTGCAAACAAGGCATAAGACTTGAGTCCCACATCAGAAATATCTAGTTCTATTGTGGAGTTTATGAGGCCTTAGGCTCTCATAAATCTTATCAATTGGTAATAGAGTCTTCCGCCCCATCTCTCAGCTACAAATGAGCAACGTGGGTGGTGACGCTGACATTGCTTTGGTTACTTTGGACTGGTCAAAGGGATAATGTACAGCCAGCCTGGAATGTTAGGATCCAAAAGCAGGAGTCCCATATCAAAAGTATTGGATTCTAGGTTGGGCATAATAAGCCTTTGGGTTCTTATCACACTCCTTATTACATGAAAATGACATTACTTCTGGATTCACTCTGGCTATTTAAAAAATGTTTACTATGAAAAATTGCTTTTGAATAATAATATTTTAACAATATTGACTAAGCTCAGATATTTTGGTTGCATATATTGATCCAAGAATTTGTCATAAATTTATGCCATGTGGATAAAAATTAAGCAATCTTGTTACACTTTTGGCAGATATCCTATAACAATTGGCACTGCTATTCCTTTAAAAGCAAGTTTCTTCATAACTTATATAATGGTTGACGGATGGGCTAGTATAGCTGCAGAGGTTTTGATGTTGAAACCGCTTATTGTTTATCACTTGAAGAATTTCTTTTTGGTGAAAACTGAAAAGGACAGAGAAGAAGCCATGAATCCTGGGAGTCTTGGTTTCAACACTGGAGAACCACGTATACAATTGTACTTTTTGTTGGGTCTAGTATATGCTGCCGTGACACCTGCTGTTCTTCCTTTCATAATAATTTTCTTTGGCCTCGCCTATGTTGTGTTCCGCCATCAGGTACACAAATGTTAGATTATTATGTGCAAGTCAATGATTATTGAAGTTTGTTTGTGCATTTATGATTCAGGTTCCATTAATCATTTGTTAAGAATGCACACAACACATTAGCACCACATTGGCTTATGCATTAGTCCCATCTGTAGATGAATATTTTGAAAAATATCAAGAAAAGTCCCTGCACATAGTCGCCTGTAGAAAGATATTTTGAAAATTGCAAAATTGGAATTCTTGGAGAGAAAATATTCAGTTTAGGAACAATTAAGTTTTCCATACAAGATTTTGAAGGCTGGCTCTTGGTGATCTTAAGGTCATGGGCTAACTCATCCATAGTGAGAGGGGTTCAAGATGCCCTCATGTTATTTCTTTCTTGGCTTTCGGAGCTTGTAGGTCTTAACAGTTGTTTTCCAACTTGGAGGACGATGTAGTAAGTAGTCTACTAGTTGACTTAATTAATCACTTTTACAGTTGAAGTCCCTAAGCTTGAATTATACTTACATAGAATTTCCTTTTTCTAATTTTATGAAAACAATTTATGTTGAGTTTCTAAACTAGTTTTGTCTTTTTGAATATGAATGTTATGTCTTTTCTTCCCCACATTGATTGTAGGGTCTCTTCTCCTTTCAATGAATATCATAGAATATATTCACCTTCATTACAATGAAATCTCAACCACCTTATTTCCTTACATGAGATGAAGACCTGAACTTTCCAATTGTTTTCCAAATGCAGATCATTAATGTATATAATCAGGAGTATGAGAGTGGTGCAGCATTCTGGCCTGATGTCCATTTCCGTATTGTGTTGGCACTGATAGTCTCACAGATAGTTCTGATGGGACTCCTCACCACCAAAAAAGCAGCTTCATCAACTCCATTTCTTATTGTGCTCCCAATACTAACCATAGGGTTTCATCGGTACTGCAAAGGCCGATTTGAACCTGCATTTGTTAAATTTCCTTTGCAGGTATGTCAATTTGTCCTTTATGATTAGTAATTCTTTGGACTGTTTGCATTGATGGTAGAGTCCTTATTTCTATTGTTGGCAGTTTATTTGCTAGATATAGTTGATGTATCATATTTATTCTATAACAAATACTCTTGCCAATTTACTGTGTATGGTGTCATGACTCATGACAAAGGTTCAGATGTATTAGAATGCTGTGCAAGTGTTATGGTGAGTTGACTGCACTTCAGTATATCATCACGTTAGTTTAATCTGAAATTAATGAATTAATTTGTACATGCCATACATAAGTTTTCGGTAAATCAATTTGGATGTGGTGTACAAGTTCTCTACTTGGTGGCTGCCTTAAAATCAACATCACTAGTTTCTTCTTTCATGAAATTTTGATGTAGCCCTTCCAAATATACGCAGGAAGCAATGATGAAAGATACATTAGAACGAGCAACAGAACCTAACCTGAACTTGAAAGGTTATCTTCAGAGTGCCTATGTTCATCCAATTTTTAAGGATAGCATGGATGATGATGAAGAGGAAGAGATATTCAGTATGGACTTGGAAACTGAAAGTGTGACTGTACCCACAAAACGTCAATCCCGAATGAATACACCATTACCCAGCAGAATTAGCGGTGCATCGTTTCCCTCTCTGCCTGACGATACTCAAAATCATCAAGAGCCCTGAAGAAGAATGATATCACTGTGTATTTGACATTTACATCGATTCTTTCCAGACAGACCAGGTGCATCTTTGCACTCACCTATATTTGGTAGCTTTTTGAGAGAGATTTTGAAAAGTAAGTGATTATTTCCCTTAAAATAAGTTGTTCCAAACATTCTATAGGATGACATGCAAGTGCAGAAATAATAAGCTAAGTCAGTTAAGAATTGCCAACTGCATAAGCTGAGAATGATGGTTAATCTCTTGGAGTGCCTCCTGCAAAAGGATAGTTTTTGACCGGCAGATGAAATCACTAAATGGAAAGTATAAGGTGCATAGATTTTTTAAATGCATCGGATTTTGTTGAGTTTAGTGAATTTGCTTCCTTAGTGGACAAACAAGTTTTATCTTTTAGATCTGTATCACCAAGCACATGGAGGATATACATTATATTACACCAGGAATATTGTAAGTTACCAGAAACTGAATGTACATGGATTAAGCTTTGACCTTATCTGCCTTTATGAATGTTGAAAGAGAAAAGAATAGAACAGACATTAGTAACAGAAAAAATAGCGATATTGTTGCATTTGTTCTTTGGTATCTTCTCTTCTTTGCTGCAGTTGGTTCAAGTATGCTAGCTAAACTATGGTGTAACCCTTGCCTCTAAACTCCTTTTGCGAAATATTGAAGAAAATCAGAACAAAACGGTAATGACCAGAACCAATGCCCTGGATAAGGTTTTAAAATATTGATGTAGCTTTAACGCTGCACCAGGATTTGTCTAAACAAAGTCATTGTAATATAATCAGTGCGATCCCTCCATATCTGATAATTTATTTGATAGAAATAAGCACTATTGAGCTTTACACAAAATTCTTTAAAAAGAAGTAAAATCGTAAATCGAATAGTAAAATTTTACAAAAACCATATATATTTGCATATAAATTTATATTATGCATATAAAATAGCAGTAAGGCACATATATATGCATATATACATCACCACTGTTTTCACGAGCATTTTGGAGAACAAAACTATGAGGCACACTTGAAGAGTCAGCTGCAATGGAGTTGTCAGTTGTAGTGTTCTGACCAACAACCGTATTTGAAACAATTTTTAGACTCGAACAAGATATAAAAAAAACAGAGCAAGATGAGAACATAGCACAATTGGAGGGGAGGAAACCATGAAAAGATAACGTATTTAGCTGCAAACCAAGTCCCACACATTGGTCACTAATGTCGTCAACATTTTGAGGAAGAAAGAAAAGGAGGAGGCGCTTTGGAGGAAAAATATAAGTCAAGTCATTCAAAATTAGGCTTATATAGCAGGTTATGAATGAATTGCAATTTGTTAAGGATAGGATACTCTTTGTTTTGCTGGTATTAGCATTAAATTCATTGATTTTATATATAATTGCATTTCTTCGTCTTCAATCAATGGGAATGGGAATGGTAGCCATTCTAAGTTTTTTCCTTATCTCTTCGTATTGTATATTGAAAGGCTTAGTTACTGTATTAGAGATGAGGTTGATTTTAGTGGCAAGGGTGCCTTTCTCTTTTGAATTGCATTGTACTAAAATATCTCATTTCTTTTTCTTTTTTTTCTTTTTAATGATATTCTATTAATATTAATTTCTAAAGCTTCTTTGGATCGGGCCCACACTGTAAATCAGATTTTAGGTAAGTTTTGTGTAACTTATGAGATAGCGAATTAATAGGAAGTAAGTTATTTTCTTATAATACTGATTTTAATATGGCAAATCAAATAAGTGAAGCCTTAGCTATTAGTCAAATAAAAAAAATTGACTATCATCTAGTATTCCTATAATTTTAACGACATCTAATGAAAATACTTTTGCTGGTCTTATTGATAAAATAAGAAAAAAAATTGTTTTATTAAATGTCAAGCCTCTCGAGGAGAAGTTTTTATAAAAATAATATAAAAAAATAAAAAATTACATGAAAGGATCAACAACAAATATATTTACAGAAATAAACTTTTTTATTGTAGCAGATATTGGGTAGCTAGAATTCGGTTCTCCATGAACCAAATTCAGAACGTTGATTTTTTTTTCAAATTTGTTTTAATGTTTTTATGTAATAAAATAAATTTTATTATTTAAATTATATTTATATGTTTATATTTTGTTATGAAAATAAATACAATTTATTTTACATATTTATTAGAATTTATTTTACATAATTATGATAATAAATAATATTTTTAGAAAATAATAACAATTAATTTTTAAAAATTAATTAAAATATTTAAATAATAAGTATATTATTTTAGATAATAATATTAATGCTTAAATTTTTATACTTAAAGAATAATAATTATATTTTTAAAAATTAAATAAAAATATTAAATATTTTTCTATTTATTTATTTATTTATTTATTTAAATATGTAATTTTGACTTAATATTTTTAAATATTAGTATGATAAAATAAAATTTTGAATAAAAATTTTATTTTAATTAAATTAGTTTTTTTTAAAATGACATTATTTAATATTATAATTTTTAATACTTTAAATTCTAAAATTTTACTATTATTATTTTTAATAAATTTTATTTAAGAATAAAAAATTTATTTTTAAAAAGTAAATAAAATATTAAATTATAAGTTAATTATTTATACTTGAGACAAATATTTTAAAATTAACAGTTTCATATAGACAAAGTGTATTAACAAAAATGATAACAAATTCATAACAACATTAATAATTAACTATCTCCGTAATGGTAGTTAGTTTCACAACGAGGGCGACGTTTGTGATATGGTGAGTTTCGTCGTTGTGATTGTTGCTCTGGGATTTCAGGATGAACTTGTAGAAGATTTGGATTATCATGAAAGTCTAGTTGTTGGAATGCATTTGATGAATTACCAGGTTCATTAGCAAAATTTGATTGGTAAAGAGACTGCATGTAAGTTTGTGCTGAAGATGGAGCTGTAAAATCAACTCCAAATAAGTTTGTAAAATAATCCTCCGATGTTGTTGCAAATGAATGTCTTGTGTTAATTATGTTTGCTTTTGGCGTAATGTTAGGAGAAATTGATGCAGTCTCATGGTACGACGGTGTGGACATCGTACCGATTTCAAATATGTTGGTAGTCCTTAGTTGTTGGTCGCTCCTCCTTGGATCTTGTAGTAGTGGTGACACAGATAGGAAATAGATGAAATTGGCAATGTACCATTCCATGTATTCTTGTGTGTGACACAATGGATCTTGCATTGAATGACCCGTTATTGTTAGCTCACGTCTGTTGTTCCATATCTCAATCTATTGAGTATGTCTTGTAACCCAATTTTCATCCCGTCTTCCTCTCTTGTCAATTTTGTAGAGGTCATTCAAATTATTCAGTGGAGAAGGAACTTCTTGGAAGAGACAAAACTTTAATTTGACTCTATCTGTTTGGTATCATTCAACAATTGGAAAACAAAGGATGGCGGTACATGAAGTCCATAGTTGGACATCTCTATATGCTTCCATGGGTATTGATGTTTGCAAGTCTTGATATGGCGCCCATAAAAACTACAAATAAACTTAACTTTGTTACTTAAGATGATGTGTAAAAGATAAGAAAATAAATATGAAGAGTTACTTGATTAGCTTGAATGTAATCAAACATTTATCTGCACCCCACAACATCATTGTGAGGTTTATTTTGAAAATTTAGTACTCTACCCCCACTCCATTTGCACACGAGAGGGTATGTTGGTAAATTACTAGAAATTGGCGCAATATATGGCATGCGATACCATTCTCAGGACATTAACAGTGATGAGCAACTACCCATTGTTTTGCTACCAACTTCCGTGGCTCTGCATATTTTCCTATACAACATAGCTAAATAAGCAAAATCCTAACTATATCGTTTTGTTCTTCTAAGATTAATTAATAAAGCTAAATACATAAGATGTACTTTGTTGCCTGTTTTGTCAAGCATCAAAACACCTCCAATTAAACCTAGTATATAAGCCCTATAATGAGCGTGAACTTCTTCTTTAGATGGTTCTTCTAATAATGGCAACATGTTGTCTCTCAGCCACTTCACTTTTACGATAGAGCCAATAAATGACTCTCCCTTGACTGGCACGATACTGAGATATGTGTCACACATTTTCTCCCAGTCAAACATTGTTGGAGCAATGACTGGTAAACCATCAACTCTTAGCCCGGGTTGAAGTGCAACATCCTCCAGGGTTATGATACACTCCCCTATTGGAAAATGGATTGTGTGAGTTTTAGGTCTCTACCTCTCGATCAAAGCTGTTATCAATGCGTGATCTACCTTAAGATGCTTTAGTTTTGCTACTCCAGCAAAATCAAGTTGTTCAATTATAGGAACAATTAGAGGACTGAGTTCTAACATTGAATGACAGAAAGATGAAATCATGTTTTCAATTTCCTGCAGTTATTAATAAATTATTAACATTATATGTAGAATATTAATTTACATAATGGTAATGTATAAAACTTACCGTTCTTCCAATAAAGGCGGACATGTGTTTGTTTTGCTTCCAAGACAACATTTTTACTAATTGGAGCAAAGATAAAGAGAAATAAAGAACAAAGATGGATGCAAGTTTGAATGAAAACCTGTGGGACCTTGGATAAACATATTTATAGATAAACTTTGGTACTAGAGAGTAGCCTTGGAATCTTGAGAAGTCACTATCTCTTGGTCTGTCTGACTTGAAAAGTCACTATCTCTTGGTCTGCGTGACTTGAGAAGGAAATCATCACTCGTAAAATGTGGTGAAACATTGAATGACTGAGAATCCAATGTTACCATTATAAATAGTCATATTCGTGTTTATTTTATTCATTCAACCTTCTAAGCTTGTTCATTGTTCTTGTGACTCTTCTCCTTTTAAAAATGTCTTCAATCTATGTTATTGTTCACTTTGATGGTGCCATTAATCAATGTTCTTATGAAGGAGTCACGTTCACCTCATCATCAGCCAAATTGGTACATCTAAAGAGAGGAGTGACTCTACAAAGGCTCAAGAAAGTCATCCACACAAAACTTAACCGAGACGAAAATGAAAGGGTGACAACTATACATTTTCGCTACCTAATTAGACTTGGCCCGGGAGTTAGCAACTACACATGTGTTAAGTTGAACAATGATGAAGACGTCGAGGCACTCTTCAACATCCACGATTCAAATCAACTTCAATCAAGTATAGAATTATATGTTACATTTGCTACAAACATAACCCAGCCACCACAACTTTCACCTTCATCTTCATCTTATCAAACTTACGAAACCATAAATCCATCTTTTCCAACATATGATATGAATTTTGACCTTTAGTCCTACACATAAGTTTTAACTAGTCCATTCATGGACCTTAAAGAAATACCCTCCCAACCATTTGAGCAAACCCTATCCTCTCAGCCTCTTGAAGAAATCCCTATTAAAGAACATGCTGTTGTAGGTTTCCCAATTGAAGTATTTGATCCTTTTAGCGATGACGAAGATGAAATCCTATCTCAACAACAGGATGATGAAGAAGACTCCCTCCCACTTCCAAATATTCCACCATCACAACCATTACTATTATACAACTCACTTCCACATTTTCTAGACTTTTCCAGTCAAATACACGAACATGACTCTGAGTTTGGTCCTGTCCTTGATCGTGAAATGGTAGTGTATCCGCTTGGAATACTATTTGTTGGTCAGCGCTTCCTAACAAAAGAACAAGTGTAAGATGCCATAAATAGATTTCACATTGTCAATCATTGCACTTACAAGGTAAAGATGTCAAGCACGACTAGGCTTGTCGTGGAATGTGTTCACAATGACTATGCTTGGAGATGTCGCGTAATATTGCGCACCAAAGAGCAACACTGGGAAATAATGAATGATTTCTCATGGACTCATGAAATGATATAGACTGATCCATCCACACCCATCGCAACTATCTTAGCCCACATAAAGCCTACAATGGATTACACAATTAGCTATAGAAAGGGATGGTTGGGAAAACAACATGTCATTGAAAATATCTTCAGAAATTGGGAGGAATCATACCATAAGTTACCTAGACAGTTGCTTGCAATGCAATTGTATATTCCGGGCTTCATCTGAAAATTGAGTACACAACCGGCATACAAGGGTGGCTTGCTTGACGAGGGGAATGTGTTCTTTAAGAGGTTGCTTTGGACCTTCAAGCCCTGCATTGATGGTTTTACCTTCTGCAAACCAATTGTTCAAGTGGATGAAACATTTTTGTATGGCAAATACAAACGGACTTTATTAGTAGCAGTTGCGCAAGATAGCCTCAACAACATAATTCTCATTATCTTTATTGTGGATGAAGGTGAAACTAACGATGCATGATTTTATTTTATTTTTAAAAAAACTTAAGGAGGTACGTAATCCTGCAAGAGGGGTTGTGCTTCATTTCGGATCGTCACAAGGCCATAAGAAGTGCATACTTCAGAAATAGAAGTGGTAGGACAGAAAACAATTCTATCCATGTCTATTGCATTAGACATATTGCACAAAACTTCATGCGATGATTTAAAAACACTGCACTGAAGAAAGATGTCGTCAATATGGGTAATTTTAATTTTTTACATACTTTATATTATCATAATATTTTATATAATTGCTTAGCTAGTTATATTAATTTTATTTGTAATCTTGTTTCCAACATATGAGATGACTAAACTGAGATTCTTTTACTATTACAATATAGTAAAAGATAATAATCCTGAAGCTACACAATAGTTGGACAACATCCCAAGGAAAAAATGGACACTAACATGGGATAATGGACAACGCTGGAGACACATGACTACAAACCTAGCAGAGTCAATCAATTTGATCTTGAAGAAAATTAGAAACCTGCCAATTTGCTCCATGGTCATGGCAACATACACCCGTTGCAATAAATTCTTCATTGACAGAGGCAGGGAAGTAGATGCAATTATTAATGCTGGACATATGTACTCAGAGGTTGCAACTAAAGCAATTCAAGATGCGTAGTCAAAGGTGAACACTCATAAAGTCATCACCTTTGAAAGAACAAGCACTAGATTTTTAATTGAAGAAATGCAACATCTGACAAAAATTTGACCTGTAGGAAGATTTACAGTACGGTTAGATGAAATTTGGTCTGATTGTGAAAAATTTCAAAAAGTTCACATCTCATGCTCGCATGTACTTGTTTCATGCTTATACACACACTACAACTTTGACATCTACATATTTTTCATGTATACCTTACAACAAGTTTCTAAGATATACGAAGGTCAGTTTGGAGAACTTAAACATGAAGACTATTAGCTAACTTATACGGGTCCAACTTTGTGTCCAAATCTAAAACTGAAAATAACTTCAAAGGGTCGACCCAAGTCCAGTAGGATAAGGACAAAGATGGACATTAGAAAACAACAAAGTCGATCAAAAAATTGTTCTTATTGTCACACCCCTGGTCACACAAGGAAAACATGTTCAAACATTGCTCAAGCTTATACTTCCCGCCATTGATTTATGTTATTGTTAATACTTTAAAATTTTCTTAATGTAATTTTTAATTTTATGAATATCATTGCAACTTATAAATTTTTAGTATTAGTAATTTATATTAAATATATATATATATATATATATATCTACATAATATTATTTAATAATGTTTATTAATATTAATAATATATTTTTTAAATAAATAGTTATGTATAAATTTTAATAAAGATTAAATTACTATATATCTACATAATATTATTTAATAATGTTTATTAATATTAATAACATATTTTTTATATAAATAATTATGTATAAATTTTAATAAAGATTAATATCTTAAATTAAATAAATAAACTTATTATTATTTAATACTTTTATTTATTTTATAAAAATATAAAATTAAATAAATTATTATTGTATTTTTATCAAATATAAATTTAAAATTAATTCAATTATTATTGTAATTTTTCTTTTTTAAAAAATTTAATATTAAATAATAAAAAATATAATTTCAGAATATAATATTAATATCATTTTACAAAAATCAAAATTATATTAAATGATATAATAAGAAAAATAAAAATATTATTTATTATCATAATTATGTAAAATAAATTTTAATAAACATGTAAAATAAATATTATTTTTATTTATTTTCACGTAACAAAATATAAATATATAAATATAATTTAAATAATAAAATTTATTTTATTATATAAAAATATTAAAATAAAATTGAAAAAAAAAACTAACATCCGAAATTCGGTTTATAGGGAACCGAATTTTGGCTACCCAATACCTGCTACAGAGGTTTACTTTCGTAAATATATTTGCTCTTAATCCTTTTATGTAATTTTTTATTTTTTTAATATTATTTCTGTAAAAACTTCTCTCAAAGAAACATTTTTACTCAATTTTATTTGATGAGTATTTTTAGTTATATCTTATAGACCAACTAATTCCTTTATTTGTACGTGAGAAAATCAATAAAATTTAAAGATATTTTATGTGAAGTTTCTTGCAAATTAGAAAATGCTATCTAATTGGCTAAAATAAAATTTGTACCCTAAAGAGGAAGGAGGGTTAAGTTTTCAAGGTATTCATAATTTCAACCTTACCTATATGATGAAGTTGGGATGAAAATTTATTAACTCTCAAAATGATTTACGGTCTCAAACTTTTAAAGCTAAATATAAGTTTCAAACTATAAATTCCTTAACAATGTAATCAAAAAGTTATCTAAACACTTAGAGAGCCATGACTCTAATTTGACCCAAGATATATAAGTGTCTATAATGAAAAATTAGGGATGGAATATCTGTTGAGTTTTAGTACTAGAATTATAAATCTTATACTTCATGTTAGTTATCCCTTATGGTTTTAGATTCTGATTTTTCAATAAGGTTGTTCTCTCCTTTAGAGAGATAGAATTTGGATAAAATTAGACTTGTTTTACCACCCTTATATTTGTGCATGTATAGTTATTGTTATTCTCCCTAAATTTGGGAGTGTAAATAATGTTGTAGTGTGATTTTTAACTTTTAATTGAGTGGAATTGGCTTAGAACTTCAAAAATTCAAGTTTTCTAAAGGAAAATTGCTCATGGTAAATTAGAATTGGAACCATTGCCCACCTTAGCTTACTTTCCTGTTGTTATGTGATGCTATGGTGATGTTCCACTTGACGCTCTAATTTTTATTTCTTCCTTTTTATAATTCCCACTCATAAAAAATATATATTAAAAAGTTAATGAGATAGAGCAAATTGATGGAAATCACATAAATAAAATATTAAAAATTATATTATATCATATAAAAAATTAATGGAAAGATATCCCTAACTTATTCAAGTGTATCAAGATCTGAAATTTACATCAAATTTATGAAATGGTATTTAAGAGAAATAAAAATAAATACTCAAAACGGAAAAAGTCATAGGACTTAATAAAGATGAAGGTAGCTCTTAAGTCTTAAGATGCTCTCATTAGTTGATCATGAAACAAAATTATAATATAATTGCAATAGAAAAAAATTAATATGGTTTTTATCGATGAAGAATATAAAATTTTCTAGTTTTAAGATTTTTTCTTTTGCATTGATACTTTGCTATTATTCTGTATAAATGTTTAAAAGTGACTCTTAACTAGGAACGAGAAAAATATATAGATAACTTTTTTTTTAGTATATTTGATAAACAAATAAATAAACTAGTTGAAAGATGAAAAATTTAAAATGAGTTGGTTAATGTAAATTAACAGAAAAATATATTTAATTATTGAATCACAATCTAAAGTTTAAAATATTTTTAAAATAATAATCTTTTAAGTTTTAAATATTTTGTATAATAGAACACATTTTAAGATAAATTTATATTTAAAATTATTCTATGATAATTTTTCAATATGACTAAGTATAAATTCCTAAATATTGCTTTTAACTCAACACATAAGGAACAAACTAATTACTATTAAAAAAAAATATCATTAGCCATTTATCACTATATTCTCATAACACCACTAAAATTCATATATTTAAAATTAGCAGAGAATAATCATTTTAATTAACTAATAAAATCTTTTGTTAAAGAATATATTATTCCTCTAACATTTGTTGATCTCTTTAATAGTATAAAGATTTATTTTTAATTTTCTTTGCTTTGTGAAGAAAATAATTCTAATACAATTGAAGAGACTTATATTTTGTAAAAAAAAAATATTTTACGAATAATTAGAATATAATAGTGCAGTTTTGAGAAAATTAATCCAACGAGCAAACATTCTACAATGATAAATAGTGTACAAGGAACTGTGAAAAAAAGATATAAAGATAAAAATTAAAATAACAAGAATAAGAGTTATTGAAAGAAAGAAACTTTACCAAATATGTTTATCTTAGAAAAATCTGGTAAGATAAATAGTTTGGTAAAACAAACATTTAACAAGTCAAATAGGTTAGTAGTTAGCCTAAAATAGGGGGAAGAATATCTAATAATAAAATAAATAATTTTAAAATATGAGTGTCCCCAATCCCTTGAGCGGCGCATGTGGTTAACGATAAAAGTAAAATTGGAGATAAGGCTTTTGTTGAGTTGAGAATTTGAATGAAGCAAAGGTTTGGGTTTGGGTTTCAATGGAAAGTCATAAGTATTAAAGAAAAAGGGTATCGTAGTTGCGTCGCTCGCAGAGGGTAATTGGCGTGCGTGCGTGCCACTCCTTCGGTTTCAATACAAATCAGAAACTCACTTCAACGCAAAATCTCTTTCTCTGTCTCTGTTCTTTGGCTTAGGGTTTTGTTCCAGAAGATGCAGATAGAAGCATGGGTGTGTCCTTGACCTTGATGACCATGCGCCCCCTTCACAGCCTTCAATTTTCTTCGTTCATCACCACCATGTCCTCCGTCCGGTGCCGATTCCAATCGGCATTCGATTCCTATTCCGTTGCTTGCGAGGCCTTTTCTGAACCCCACCCTTTTCCCCTTTAATACAGACTTTCCTCTCCCTCTCTTCTTTTTTCTCCTCCATGTCTTCCGTTACCGATAATCATGACGTTGGCGTTGTGGAAAAAGATCCAACTTCGCGATACGCGCGGGTACGTTATTTTTTTCTTGGATTCAACTCCACTCAAGTGAGACTGCCAGTGCTTGGAATTGAATTCTTTATTAATTGTAATTCGATTTTTGTTTTTTCTTCAGTACGATGAATTTTTGGGGAAAGGAGCCTTCAAGACTGTGTATGCCTATTGCCTGTGACTCTCTTATGTCGCTATGTGGAAGTTTTTTTATTTGTTTATTGTTTGGGTTGTTGCAGATACAAAGCGTTTGACGAATTGGACGGAATTGAAGTGGCGTGGAACCGGATCAGCATTGAGGATGTTCTTCAATCTCCGCAACAGTTGGAGAAACTGTACTCAGAGGTTCATTTGCTCAAGTCTTTAAAACATGAGAACATCATCAAGTTGTACAATTCTTGGGTGGATGATAGAACTGGCTCCATCAACATGATCACTGAGTTGTTCACCTCTGGGAGTTTGAGACAGTTGAGTTTATCGAATTCGGGCAGTGCGATAAGCATTTTTTGAGTAATTTTTTTTTTTTTTTTTGGTGATGCTTCATGTTGCTCTTGCCTGTGCAGGTATCGGAGGAAGCACAAGAATGTGGACATGAAGGCCATCAAGAACTGGGCGAGGCAGATTCTTCGTGGTTTGTGCTTTCTGCACAGTCACAGTCCCCCCATTATTCACAGGGACCTGAAATGTGATAACATTTTTGTCAATGGGAATAATGGACAAGTTAAGATTGGAGATCTTGGATTGGCGATTGTCATGCAGCAGCCTACTGCAAGGAGTGTCATTGGTAATGTGATTGAATATTGATCTTCTCCTGCAGTTTTTGGTGGATTAAACCTTGCAAATTAAATGAATATTTTGGGATTTCGCATGGTTGCAGGAACACCGGAATTCATGGCCCCAGAACTTTATGAGGAGGAATACAATGAGCTTGTTGACATATATTCATTTGGCATGTGTATCTTAGAAATGGTCACCTGTGAGTACCCGTATGGTGAATGTAAAAATCCGGCGCAGATATATAAGAAAGTTACCTCTGTAAGTCTGCAGTCAGCGATGTTAATTTAATCTTTTTATGTTGTTTTGAACTTCTGTTCTTGATAAACCGTTTGTCTCTGCTGATTTATCTTGTTTTTAGTCATTACCAATGTAAGTTTGTTTTCTTTTCCCTTTCAGGGTATAAAACCTGCTGCGCTTGCTAGAGTAAATGATCCTGAAGTGAAGCAATTTATAGAGAAGTGTCTGGTTCCTGCATCTATGAGATTGCCGGCATCTGAACTATTGAAAGACCCGTTCCTTGCAACTGAAAATGCAAAGGAGATCAACTGTGATACACTGAAGCCACCTAATGCCCATACCAGATTGGTGAATCCACTGACAAGTGAGCCTCATCCCATGGAGATAGATTCAAACTCTAGGCATACTTCACCTGGCTCTTCTGAGAGAAGAAACGAAGAAACTTCTCAATTTTCAGTTATTGATCTCACGAGGATGACAGAAAATAACGAATTTAGGTTAAGAGGGGAGAAAAATGCTGAAAGTACAATTTCACTTACTCTGCGAATTGCTGAAACATGTGGTGAGTGATTGTCAGATCTGTTTCTTTCTTTCTTTTTACCTTGTGCTAATTGTTAATGTGTCTGTAGGTGGAGCAAGGAATATCCATTTTCCATTCTATATCGATTCTGATACAGCAATTTCAATTGCTGAGGAGATGGTGGAACATCTGGAACTCACAACTGAGAATGTATCTGTCATTGCTGAGCTCATACATGACATGCTTGCTAAGCTTGTGCCCAACTGGAAACCCTTCTGTGAAAACCTCTCATCTGGAACAGATCATTTGTATGGGCCTTCTTCAGAAGTTCAGAGCAGTGAACAATTAAACTGCCATTGGCCATTACGGTCAAGTGATTTTGATAAGAAGACAACAATCTATGAAGATTTAGTTCACTCCCAGCTTGAGGATGGAGATGATCAGGAGAAACAAGAATCTGTTCTGTCAGATATTTCAGCGGAGTGTGGAATTATTCTTGATGAATTCTGCGAGGGGTTCGATTGCTTCAATTCCAATTCAGACGTCAGGCTTTGTGAGCAAGAAGATGGACACAAGAATCACTCTGAGAATTCAGCAGGCTCTTTAATAAATTCATGTTGCAATCCTTCCAAAAACTTTGAAACGTTAAGCAAATGTTCTCATACTCTAGTTGACAATGATCATTCAAATGAGCTGCAGTTGGAGCTCGAAGCAATAGAAACACAATATCGGCAGTGCTTTAGTGAGCTTGTGAAGATGAGGGAGGAAGCCATAGAAAATGCCAAAAGGAGATGGATAACTAAGAAGAAAATATCAGTCATGTGATGCATTAGGATCATTTTCTGTGATTTTTTTTTCTTTTAATTTTTTTGGCATTGTTTACATCATTCGATTTCTGGCTGCTTAGTCTTTACCTTTATTTGATTTCTTAATGGAATAGGTATTTTTTTGTTCAGTACCAGGCAATAACAGCCCATGCGATTTTAATAGATATTACTTTGTGTGGATGATGACGAAGAAAGAGCAAATTTATTTTTTGTTATTGACAAATAAGCTGTGAATTTATCATTTCAATTTCTTATCAAATGCATATTGCTACTGCAAATTTTGTCCGACTACATTTTTTACCATTTATGTAAATGACCCATTCCGTGGTAAATTGTGGCACCTTATATATTGCCATGGTCACAGTTTTAGTCTACAACACCTATTAGATTAAAAAAAAAAAGTCGCTGAAACAAGGGAACACATCAAGTTCCAAACCTGTGCTCAGATTGATTAATTTTGTTTGAAAGAGTAATTGCAAAAGTTGTGTGCTCCAATATGCACTTTTGGTACCGACTGAGAGTCATGCACAGGTTCGAATAAGTCAACACAAGGTCTTTGTCCTGCAATTGCGTGTTTGACTTTGTTCGTGGGTCAAAGCTTCAATCCATGATGAAAAGGATCAGACTGAGTAGGAGGGTCAGGAGGTTGTGGTTGAAGAGGGTCGTCCACGTTTACCACTGGCCATATTTCTGCATGCATTTCACAAACCAAAATATTCAGTAACAAGGTCGAGAAATTAGTGCTCAATCAAAGCATAGCTGCCCTTTTCCACTACAACAGTCCAATGGATTGAACTGCTGTTATACTATAATCTAATACATTGATTAATATACAAAGCTTACAAGAAAAATAAAATGGTTTTCCTTAAAATTTTGAAATTTAAAAGCTTAGTTAGATAGCCTCTTATTAGAAAGAATAATGCTCCTCAATTTAACCATTGTGAAATATACCAATTATATACATCAATTGTCATTTTAAAGACATAACTGAGTACTTAGTACAAAAATATGAGATAATACAGTAATTATTATGTAGTTACATACATGTATCTATTGAATCTTAGAGCATAATCAAAATATTAGGCTTTTTTTACAGACGTGCAACTTTTTTAATATCAAATTACATATGTTTTTCTTCTTTTTTTTACATAAATGTCCTAAAACGTATATGTAGAAGTGGATTATAGACGACTTCTACATTCCATTTAAATTTTGTTTTTCTTTTAAAAAAGTTGACTTCAATTAACTTCTATTCTTCAAAAAAGTCAATTGTCACCGAGATTGCAGGTTATTTGTCATTTCTACAATCTTGGGCATGGTATAAAATACCTTAGTTAGCCCCTAAGCACCATCATCCTCTCATTTTTCTACTAGCATTGAGGTACAAATTAATTCTATCAATATATTATTTTTTTGTTATTTATATATGTTAATTTTGCAAGTAAAAACTAATTATGCATATTTCAAGTGGAAAAGTTATAGGTTATCAATAAGATCAAATACGAATAAATTATTGTGAAATAGAAGGATCATTGATTCAATTGGCATTACTGAGGTAAGTTCAAATAAGGTGTGTTACTAAATTATTTTGTTTTAAATAATTATATTTTTGGTCTAATATTTGTTATTTATTATTTCAGTTTAGGTTCCTACAACAATGAGGTCAGAAACATTACACCTCCTTTCGTGTATGATGAGGCTGATGTTTGAGCATTTGTGACTGCTCTTATACAGTTTACTATGATTGTGTGACACCCTTTTGATCGCGTAGTTCGACAATTTGGTGGAGCACAACACATACCAATGAATCTGATAAATATTGATTGGTTGCACGCTAAAGATGAGAGGGGTGATCTAGATATAAGGTGACCTGATTATCATGTGACATGGTATGGTGTATGAGAGGTACGTAGGGATCGACGAGTACTTTCAATGGTACTTGTCATTCGCTAATAGATTTTTGTCATTGGATGGAGGTCCACAAGATGCAGAGCTTAGGGACTTATCTGATGGTGTACCACTAAATGTTTCCCCTGCACCTGACATAATACACCCTGATGACATTCTAGATAGATGCTCTTTCATACGTCATTTGCGTGCAGGTACACATGCTAGTAGACGTCAGTACCATGATAAGACGGATATACTAGCCAACCTCCCAGCACACAATGTAGAACCTGATGCAAATCCAACTATATAACATACCTAACACTATGTATACCACCCGACATCCACATACCCCAGCCACCACCTCATGTCAGGACCTAGTCAACAGCAGTACATGGCTGGTCCTTCTCAGCACCAGTTCATGTCGGGCCCTAACCAACCATGTATGACCCTTAGCTACCATTTTATGGCAGGCCCTAGTCATCAGTTCATGTTAGATACTAAGGCTACTCCCAGTCCTATGCAACATTTTGTCACAGGTCTATCTCAAGATGATATTGCACAACATATATCTTTTAGTCCACGTTTCATGTCAGATGTTGAGGTTATAACTTGGCTAAATTCGACCGGTACAAGTAGATCTGTGCCACCACCAGATAATGTATATCGACCATCACCAACACATATCTGAACTCCCTCCTTTAATGGTTCACCAGAGGAGGAGGAGCATCACACACCTTTCCAACAGGAGGAAGCGGATGATCAGTACATGCATGATCAAAGTCAACAGAAGGAGGAACATGCACACCGCAGACCTGTACGACAGATTGTATATCGTCATTGTGCAATAAGAAGTCACCTTGTTGGGGCCAAACGCAACAGACGTGGCTCATAGTCACATATGCTGCACAGTGATCTACATATTTTATGGACTATGTACTTTAGAATTTAATTTTCTCTACTTTAGAATTTTAATTTTTTGTCTTCAGAATTTTAATTTTATGTACTTTATAATTTGAATTTTATGCGGTTTAAAATTTAAATTATATGTCTTTTAAAGTATTATTTTTACATTGATATTATTTAATAATTTATAAAATTATTATACAAAAATATTAACAAATTTAATTAAAATTATTATTTTTCTTTAATTTAGATAAGACATCTAAATAAATTATATGGATAGGATATGCGTAACACACATTACAGAAGTCGATTATAATTAATTTCTGTATTTGTGTATGAAATCAATTTTAATCGACTTCTATGCAATTCAAATCAGGACATTTATGTAAAAAAAAAATTTTGAAACATATACATAATTTTATATTTAAAATGTTTTATTTCTATAAATTTTCCAAAATAACCCAAAAAGTAGAATTCTAGCACACATAACTACTGTCTTAAATTCTATCCCCATGCCGATACATACAACGATAATCCAAAATACAGCAATTACTAGTCTATTTACATTCAAGCTGTTAATCCGAAGCACACAAACACCAGAGTGCAGCTTCTCTAAAAGAAGTTGCAACCAACCTAAACCTATGAATCGGAAAAAACCATTTTAATGAGACTAGAGACTAGAGTCCTACTGAGAATAATAATAGTATTTTAGGAATAAACTAGGAAAATCAACATTGTATTCAGCTAAAGTTACGTAAGAAAAACCATCCATATTGTAGTAGGAATTGTTCAATACAAGTGGATCGGGATAAACAATTCCTCTAGTATAGACTGTCTTCTATGGTCATGGTCATGTGTCAGAATGTGGTTATACAATTGTACTATACAATGGTTAAGTTACCTTGGTTTTAGCATAAGCTAGGTTGGTTTGATGCAACTTGTCCGAAGTGATAAAAGTGATTGCTAATGAGGGGTGTCTTGTGACGGTAATCTTAAAGGTTAGACCCCAGATGAAGAAGCCTAATCAAATAATTAAAATTCAGCATTTCACACTTTAAAGCCTTTCACCCTATAATAATAATAATAATAAATGAAGTTTTGGTCCAGTATACAAGAGAAAAGGAGGTTGAATCTATTTTGAGAAACATTTAATAATTTTTAAATCAAAAGGATTCATCCAAAAAGCTAAGAGTTACATTGAGAATGGTTCTGATTCCTATAGTCAATTTCTTATATTGATGCTTCCTTTATTCTTGAGCTTCTTAAAGTTTGTATATGTGTTTGTATATGTAACAGTCTCTTCAAAGTGGATACTCTTATATATAGACAATGCTTGAAACATTCTTCCCCTTGAATGGTATTTTCTCTTGTTGCTTTAAGAGAATAGTCTTATAGATGGTACTACTGAAATACTTCTCTTGACTGTTAGATTAGACAAATATACTATTTGTATTAAAAGCTTTTATAGTCATCAAAATCATAACAAACCTTTCATACTTTAACAGCCTCTCCCTTTTTAACAATGACAAATTCAGAGCATAAGATGAGTATACACCTTTAACTTTGTATTCAAATTTATATTTAGTGAATAATTAACTATAAAAAGATAGAATAATCATTTTTATTAAAAATTATTTATTTTAAAAAAAATTGCTTGAATTATTTAAAATGCAATATACAGAAACACCACGTTATAATTACTATTGTCAAAATACAAACTGTTTTAGAATTTTAGATGTTACGTTGAAAGTATTAAAAAAAAATATTAGTGAAGATTCATATATTATTACAAAATACAGACAAACAAACAACAAAGAGGAAAGTGAGATTCTAATTCATGTTTAAATAAGATAATAGAAAATAATTAAGTTTAAGTCTAACATACAAAACATATCATTCAATTGTTAGTAAAGCATATCTTATTGTATCCTACGTGTAAGCAGTAGCGGATCTATGACCCTAAGGTCAAGAGTGCAAAAACATAAAATTAAGAAGTGCAAAATATAAAAAAAAAATATATTATTAGTAATTTATTAAAATTAAAATTGTTTATGAAAGTTGAGGGGCTGCATTTGCAGGGGCTCCATGTGCATCCACTACTGCGTGTAAACATTGCTATTTTTAAACCAAACTTTTTTAAAATATATTTTTTAATTAGTTTTGTCAGCACACCTTATGTATAAATAAATAAAAATATAATACTTTCTTTATCATTTTAAATTTTTTGTTACAAAAAGGAATTTTAATAATTTTAATATCTAAAAATATATTTAAAAATTATAATTTTATTAATATTTAACATAATAATTGTTATATTTTATTAAATTTTTGCATATACTAATATTTAATAATTTTTATGATATTATATTTATAATTTATAATTTAATAATTTTTATCAAAAATATAAACTCTAGAATTGTTGTAGCATGGCATCCCATCTTTTCAAATCTCAAATCATGAACTTAAATAATATTTAATTTATAATTATTGAAATATATAAAAAGTAAAAAAAATGAGATTTTACATGGCAATAATAAATTAGATACATATGAAAAGATATTTTTTCAATTTTACTAATTTATAATTTTCTTCTAAAATATTCATCTTTCATTTTATTAATAAACAGGTCTTTAATAATAATAATAATAAGAAAAATTGATTGTTCCATAGCAATAATAAAATATTAAAGACCATATTTATCAAGGATAATGTATAATAATTTTAAATTATGATTAAATACTATATTTAGTGAATGTTTAACTTTTCAAATTTATAAAATTTATTCGAAAACAAAAAATTAACTATAATAATAAAATTGACCCATAGAATTTTCACTATCCGTTGATTAAATTACCTGAATGTATTTTAAGTCTTAGTTAATATATATATATATATATATATATATATATATATATATGACATATTATTCGCAACAAGTGGGTGTTTATTATATATAAAACCGGAAAAGGGGTTAAAATATAGAATATTTATCTTTCCTTTTTATTCATAAATAAGTTTTCAATTAGGTATGCAACTAATTTTATCTTCACTTATACAGAAACCTAACTGCGCTGTATCATCAATACAGCAAGAAATATTATATTTATAAAGAACAATATAAATTCAATTTAAATAAAATAATTCAATACTAAATTTATGATTTTTTAAATAAAATAAATATCAAATTTCATAAATGTCCTTATAAAAGAAAAACTCGAAATATGTCTTTTCTTTGTAATTGTATAAGTTGCACAAGGTTAATACAATTTATAACTTACACTGCCACTTATGTATGAACACTATTTTTTTTTTTTTAGGAATATGTTAGTTTTTGAATTGAGAATTTTTTTTTAAAATTTTATAAAAAAATAAAAATATTAATTATAAAAATATTAATTTTTAGAGAAAGAAAAATATTTAATTTTTTTGTATTTAAAAAATAAAAAAAATAAAAAAAACAATAATAAAAAATATATAAGATAATAATATCATTTACATGATTAAACTTTAATCATCTTTTCCTTTAAATATTAAACATTCAAATAAAGGAGATTTTAACTCTCTTTTCCACTCTCTTTCCTTTTTCTCTCCTCTCCAACTTTCTCCTTCAAATTCTTTCTTTCTCTCTTTCTTCAAACATATAAATAAGTCTTATGCATTAAGTCATATTTATGATGACCTCAATTATATTAATTATTGAACAAAACATAAATTGGACATGTTTGTGATATATATTTATATTAACATAGACATGCTTAGTTTAATTTGGATATTTTTTTAGCCTTTTTAATCTTAACTTTTGAAGGTATATAGTTTTTTACATAAAATTTGTTAATTTATGTAAAATACATGTTCATTTTACATAACTTTTTGAAATCTTTTATGTAAAACATCCATAATCGATTTGACCCAAATTTTTTTCAAAATACAAGTTTAGTTGAATAAATCTAAAAAAGTTATATGAAATTGAAATATAATTTGCATAAATTAGATTCGTGTACAAAATGTTATAACTTTTTAAAGTTTAATAAAAAAACTCAGAAAATTCTAGACATAATCCCTCTTAACTCAAGTAAAGTCGTGTTACTTATCACGCCACTTTTAAGTATATGTGAGCATGTCCCGTGCTAATTAATTTGAGCATAGTTGTGTTGCTATTTCACATAAAAATGACATATATAAAATTTTGTATTTATTTTATTTTATTTTTACAAAAAAATTTCAATTTAAGTTTTAAAATTTACAGTAAATATATACATATATTTTAAGAATGTATAATAGATGTTAAAATAAAGTTGTCTAGTAAACTATCAATTATTTCTTAATTTGTATAATTTTTTTAAAAATTTGAGCTATATTAGGTAAAATGAGTTAGAAATATGTTATAAAATACAAATAAATCTTTTCATATGTAATGTCAATGATATTATGTGCCAAATAACGGGTTTGTTTACAAACAGATTTTATAGACAGGTTTTATCTATTTGTAATACAAATAGATTTATAGATGAAATTTTGCAGAAAATTAAAAAAAAAAATTTTTTTGACTTACCATATGTAAACAGCATGTTTGTAATAGTAATTATTAGAACTTATTACAAGATCCCCAGTTTTAGGAGGCAAGACCAATTGAATGATTTCTTCATTTTTATAATAATATTTAAATCCCTAAACTCTGTCATTTTATCTTTAATCGAAATAAAAATAATTGAGTCGTGTTTACAAAATAAACAAATGATTAGTATGGATGTCTTTAGCCCTATTTTCTTGCATGAACACGTGTTAAAATCTACCTTCAGTTTCTTCTTACTTTGATTTATCATATCCAGTTCTTTTGTTGAGTATTTCTGTACTTTAAGTTGTTCCATCTTTCAGTAGGCCGCTTCAACGACAGACTTTCTAAGGTAAAAACCCTTTGCTGAGTCTTTGGGATAGTCATCAAGCCTCGACAACAACTATAATTAATAACAATAAATGTTCTATGACCCTAATAGAGTCATAGAAGTCTTCTCTCTCTCTACAAAACTAATCTTTCAAGCACAAAAGTGCTAATTTTTACTTTCATAATTAATAACAATTTTACTTAACATATTTTATATATTAAAATAACTTATTGGTATTATAACTATGACAACAACTATAATTATAACTGTCCGCAGTTGTGTGTAAAATTTAGTATACTTTAATATTAAATGATATGTTTAATAAATGCAATATATGTATGTCAACACTATCATAATTATTGCTTATTTCTTATGCCTTCTGATTAATTTTGTTTGAATGTAAGTTCCGGCCGTTGAATAATAATAAAAATTAAATTAGACTTTATTATATATAAAAAAAGATTTTGTTAACATTATTTCTATAAACAACTAATAATAGTAAAATTTTATTATAAAAATAAATATTTATTATATTTTTATAATTTTAATATAATAATTATATATTTTTTTATAAATTTTTTTAATTATAAATACTTAAGCTTAGGTCTAAAGATAAAATCTATATATAAAACGAATAATTATTTAATACACATTTAACATGTTTTATGAAATAACATAAATTAATCTATACTGTCATTTATAGACCTTATAAGGCTATATAAATTTCGGTTTGTTTATAATAAGAGACTAGATAGGCAAAGCGTGACTTCTTGGGAAGTGTAAGTGTAACGTGGATTTATGCCTTGCAAACATGTAACACTCCAAACAAACAATCATATCTGATTTTGAAAAAATAATATTATTTTGGTAACATTTTTGACGGGTATTGAAAAATATATGTTAAGAATTATTAAATATAGTATATTAATTAAAAAAATATTTTAAATATTTTTTATAATTTTAAAATAACACACACTTTTATCTTTAATAAAAAAATAATTTTAACCTTCTAATACGTATCTTTGGAGTCATGTGAGAAAATCCTATTTTTATAATTTACTTTTCTTTTAATTTGGTGAGAGCCATTAATGGACTAAGCTGGAGGATCTGGTTGAAGCTGGGCATATACTTAATTTGGCCCTTCACCTACAAACTATTGTCCACCCTTTCTCCTCATTCTCTTGGAATCATATATAGTTTGAAGAACACAAATTCAGAATTAATCAAGTTGAAGATCCAATTCATGGAACAATCCTCGCACGAGATCACATCCCCTCTCTGTAAGCCCCTGGTGCTTTTACTTAAAGATCGATGGTCAACTTTTTCTTCTTTAATTTTTGTTTATTAATTGTTGCGTTGAAATGCAAAACCATGTCTAGTGCCAAAGAAGGAGGACAATGTTGACGAAGATGTGAAAGAGATTGGGGAATCATCGGGTGAAGAAGAGAGAGAGAACTCACCCATAAAGCAAGTGGCCCTAACGGTGCCAACCACAGATGACCCATCGCTTCCGGTTCTGACGTTCAGAATGTGGGTGCTGGGAACCCTCTCATGCGTTCTCTTATCATTTCTGAACCAGTTTTTCTGGTACCGAACCGAGCCTCTCACCATCACCGCCATATCGGCTCAGATCGCGGTGGTGCCGCTTGGTCAACTCATGGCTTCAAGAATCACCAAACGTGTCTTCTTCAAAGGAACACGTTGGGAATTCACACTGAACCCGGGTCCCTTCAATGTGAAGGAGCATGTGCTCATTACTATCTTCGCCAACTCTGGCGCTGGCACCGTTTATGCCATTCACGTTGTTACCGCTGTCAAAATCTTTTACCGCAAACACATGTCCTTTTTTGTTTCCTTCCTCGTAGTCATCACCACGCAGGTGCGTTGCTACATGGATTAGTTATTTTGTTATTTTGACTTGCAGTAACTTTTTCTTTTACTCTTTATACACAGAGAAAAAGCTTGTCTTTTTTGTATAAAAAACTTTAACATCAAAAAAGGTTTTTTTGTCAGTTATTTTGAATTCCAGTTATACCTGCCTAACAACCCCCATCCACCTAACTTTCTCGGTTTGCCTGAACAAATTTGTTGCGGCAGTTACCAATAAAAGGAATTTGACTTAAATTAATTACTAAAAATTAAAAAAAATTATTATAAAACATAAAAAATTAAGATATATTTTTTTATAATATTATAAATCTAAAAACTCTTAAACTTGATCTTAAATTTTTATTTAATTTATATATAATAAATTATAATTTTAGATGTAAGTTAAATAAAAAAATTAAATTAAATTTAAAAAAATTTAAACTTAATTTTAAATATAAATTAAATAAAACAATTAAATTAAGACTTACTATAATTTTAAAAAAATTCTTCTTCATGAAAAATAAGAATGGACGGTATATTATTATTTTGTGAAGGTATTGAGAATGCATTGAATGACAGGTATTGGGCTTCGGATGGGCGGGCATATTCAGAAGATACTTAGTAGAGCCAGCGGCGATGTGGTGGCCGGCAAATTTAGTTCAAGTTTCACTCTTCAGGTAATAATAGTAGAGTCTAAGGGTAAACATTATAATAATGCATGACCAACACATTATAATCATCTAAATACGAAGGGTGTTAAGTTGCATAATACTAAATTAGTAACTATTAGCATAATACGTAAGAGTTAATTTGCTTCAAAATATCATTACATAATACGAAAATATCTACACCCACTAGCCACCAATGACGTTAACCTCATTGCATAAATACATTATAATTTTTTTTTAACAAATCTTCTAATATACTTCAAAGACACGCCTTATTAATATATATTATCATTCAGTGATTGATAAAATTTTTAAAAATTGTTATTGTTAAAATTTAATGTTTAATTTTTTTATTTTTAAATTTTATTTTTATTTTGAAAATTTGTCATTAGTATTTTATAATTTTTAGATATTTTATCTTTGAATCTTATATTTTTGTAATTTTTTTAAAATATCATTATTTTGATATATCTTATTTTTAAATATTATATAAAAATTAAAAAAGTTTTTGCCGGTGGAACAAGTTGTTGCAGCTATATATATCACGTCATTGCTTACTTTGATAACCCATTTACAATAATTATGGATGGGCCCAAACGTTCCGAGAGACCCTTATCATGCTTCTTAAATTTCGGAAATTATTCTTTTCACTTTCTAATATATATATAGTTTAAAATAATTTTGGTACATTTTTTTAATAAATATACGTTAAATTAATGTAATTATAAAAACAAAAAAAAGGGTGAGCGTTGACTCCTTTGTCTTACTACTTAATTATTTCGATGTCCGTTAATTTATTGTCTACAGTTATAAAAAAAATTCCTTAAAACTATTAGAATTGAATTATTTTAATATTTAAAATTATGAAGTCAGTTATTTTAATTCTAAAATTATAAAATCAATAATTTTAGTCTTAAAACTATAATATATCAGTCTCATCCTTGAAATGAATAAAAATCGATTATTTTATTCTCTAAAATTATAAAATCAGTTATTTTAGTCTATAAAAATATAGATATTTATCAACTTAGTCTCTAATATTATGAAAAAGGCATAGCAAAAAAAAAATATTAGAAAAAGGATTTTCATTACTTTTATAAAAAAAATTAATCATTTTAGTCATTGAATAAAAAATTGTGTAACCAATATAATTTTTAAACGTCTATAATTTTTTTAATCACTGGAGGACAAAAATACACCATTCCTTATTATTGTAAGCTTTTGTCATGAAATGTCATTGAGTTATTCTTTATTATTATTTCAAGGACTTAAGTAATAGGTGCCTATAATTTTAGGAGTTAAAATACTTGAGTTTAGTAACTAAATTGAATGATCTTATAGTTTTAGGAGTTAAAATGATTAATTCTAACTCAATGGCTTAAGTCATCTTATAATTTCAAAGATTAAATTGAATTATGCTTATAATTTTAGAGGCTGAAATGATTAATGTCTTATATTTTATCTACTAATTATTATTTTTATAATTTAAAAGACTAAACTGATTAGATATCTATAATTTATGGGACTAAAATGACCAATTTCTAAATTTATAGATTAAATTGACAGATGTTTATAATTTCGAGAACTAAAATTATGATTTTTTAATTTCAAGGATTAAAATAATTATTTTTATAATATTAAATACTAAAATATCTAATTATAATAATTTTATAAAGTAAAATTTCTTTTTCAGAGATTAAATTGACATTTTCCTATAATTTTAGGAACTAAAACAATGTTCTACTATTTAAATATATCTTGGCATTTTCTTTTTTAATTTTCAATGCATCATTCAAAAATTCATAAACTAATATATGTTTGTTCAAGTAGTTAGAAATTTAATTTCTCTTAAATAAAGCCTTATGTTTGAATCTTATTTATGAAAATAAACCTAAAAAAGCTTTGCCTTCTTGAGTATATTTACTCAACTTAGATCAATCAAAGTTTAAAGTAACTTTTCATATACTAATTAAGAATCTAAATTTTATAAATCTTGAGTTAAGCATGTTTCTTTCTGTTATGATTATATTTAGTGAAAAAATATCTTCAAAATTTATAATATTATTTTAGAAAAAAAAAACAGAAAATACGCTCCACAAAATACAAAGCTTTAATAGTTAACATCTCAATATTATTTCACGGGGGAACAAGAAACGGGTTCTAAAAGGAACAGAAGAGCCATCACTGCTAGAAAAAAGGACTTTTCTTTACAAGCATACCATACATTCCAGCTTCATTCTGCTTTGACAAGGATAAGTATATAGCTATGAAAGTTTATATTATATATATATATATATATATATATATATAGGGACAAGATTTTTTATACCGGTATAAGTCTAAAAATACTTACACTTAATTTGAGTTTTTTTATTTAATTTAATTCTAATAAATTATAATTTATTACTTTACTGACCGTTAGATTTAAGTTAATTGAAAGATTCAGATTATATGTAAGAATTTTTAGAATTACACTAGTATAAGAAGATCATTCAATATATATATATATATAAAAGAAAGAATTGAGTTGTTTGACTCATTGTTATTTATTGAGAAATGCTATTTGTACAAAAAAAAATAAAAAATGTATAACACTTTTTATATATAATATAGAGAAATAAGAAGAAGAAAACCAAAAAAAGAAGTGATGTAACGGAGAAAAATTAAAAAACAATGTTTTAGAAATTTATTGTAAGAACTTACTATAAAAACATTATAACCCTTATTTATTTAGCAGTGTTTTTAATGTAACATAATAAAAGTTTATATATTAAAAATCATAAGTTTTAATGTATTAATAATATTAAATGGTTATAATTTTTAATAAAATTGATTATTTATTAATTTGTTTTTATATATCTTTCCACATACATTAAAAAAATGGTTATAAATTGGTTTGATACATTACACTCAGGGCCCTGCACGAGAAGGAGGAACGAGAAAAAGGAGGGTTAACGAGATCGCAGTTCTTTGTAATAGCGTTTTTGTGCAGCTTTGGCTACTACGTGCTTCCTGGTTACATTTTCCAAATGCTGACCTCTCTCTCTTGGATATGTTGGTTATTTCCCACGAGCGTGCTGGCCCAACAGCTTGGGTCAGGCCTATATGGGCTTGGCATCGGTGCAATTGGGCTTGACTGGTCTACCATTTCAGCCTACCTCGGGAGCCCACTTGCAAGCCCATGGTTTGCCACTGCCAACGTGGCCGTGGGATTCGTGTTTGTGATGTACGTTCTGACTCCATTGTGCTATTGGTTCAATGTGTACGGTGCCAAAACCTTCCCCATTTTCTCCGACGATCTTTTCACTTCCAAGGGTCAAATTTATAACATCACAGACATAATTGACTCTAATTTCCACCTTGACGTTGCGGCTTATGAGCGACAAGGACGACTCTATCTCAGCACTTTTTTTGCCATGACCTATGGTGTTGGCTTTGCAGCACTTACCGCTACCATTGTCCACGTTGCTCTCTTTCACGGAAGGTGTGTAGCAATCTCAACTCCATTGTTTTGTTACACATCCACCCCTCAATTGAAAAATAACATGTAAATACAGAGAAATATGGGAGCAAAGTAAATCAAGTTTTAAGGAAACGAGAGTGGACATCCACACGAAGCTTATGCAGAAGTACAAACAGGTTCCTGAATGGTGGTTCGTGTGCATCCTCATCGCAACCATTGCAGCCACCGTCTTCACTTGCGAGTATTACAACGATCAGCTTCAGTTGCCTTGGTGGGGCGTTCTGCTCGCATGTGGCATCGCCATCTTCTTTACTCTCCCCATTGGGATTATAACTGCAATCACAAATCAGGTACGTAGATATTATTTTCATTCATTCTTTAAAAATAATTCACATTTTCGGTATTTTTTTTACTACCTATTCCATTGTAGTTACTTTTCTTTATTTGATAATTTGAAAAAAAATGAACATTGATATTTTAAAAGGAGTATCTACTTCTGCAGTACAGGAACATCACATGTATACTATCAAGAAGAAATGTTATTTATCTAACGATTTTGTTGTATTCTTTTTTTTTTAACAAATTAGAAAGTGATGGGAGGAGAAAAGGAAGAAGGAAATGATTAAATGAGTAATGTGATAGATAAAAAAATAAAGAACTTTATTATTATAGAAATTCATTATAAAATATTATCATGAAAATAATACAACTCTACGTGTCCTTTATGATATTCCGAAATTACAGACTCCGGGGTTGAACATAATCACGGAATACATTATAGGATATATCTACCCGGGCTATCCAGTAGCTAACATGTGCTTCAAGGTTTATGGTTACATAAGCATGACACAAGCCATCACTTTCTTGCAAGACTTCAAGCTCGGCCACTACATGAAAATCCCTCCACGAATCATGTTCATGGCACAGGTCAATCCTCAGCTTTCATTAACTCAAGGCATTTAATATTTTACTGCTAATACATAGAGGCATAAAGGTAGAGTGAAAAAAAAAGTGTCCAAAGTTAGTAATAACTGTTTGAATGGAATGCTGTTAATTGATTAGGTTGTGGGAACGCTGATAGCGGGTATTGTGTATTTGGGCACTGCGTGGTGGTTGATGGAAACGATCCCGGACATATGCGAGGACACATCCTCTGTTTGGACGTGTCCAAGTGACACTGTGTTCTACGATGCGTCGGTTATTTGGGGTTTGATTGGGCCGAGGAGAATATTTGGAGACCTTGGGACCTACGCCCAAGTGAATTGGTTCTTCCTGGGTGGGGCCATTGCTCCTTTACTCGTTTGGTTGGCTGCGAGGGCCTTCCCACAACAAGAGTGGATTAGACTCGTCAACATGCCAGTGTTGATTGGAGCCACGGGAATGATGCCTCCAGCAACTGCAGTGAACTACACTAGCTGGGTCATCGTTGGTTTTCTCTCTGGCTTCGTGGTGTTTAGGTACAAACCCCAATGGTGGCAGCGTCACAATTATGTGCTCTCTGGAGCACTTGATGCGGGTCTCGCTTTTATGGGGGTGCTTTTGTATCTTTGCTTAGGATTGGAAGATATTAGTATCAATTGGTGGGGAAATGACCTTGATGGCTGTCCCTTGGCTCATTGCCCAACCGCCAAAGGGTTTGTGGTTGAAGGTTGCCCCGTTTCCACTTGACTAAAGTTAAAATGTCCTTCCCTTAATTCAAGCTATAGGCAACCCTCCTTTCATTCGCTTAGTGCTGTAAAATGTAAATATTTTCCAAATTCATCATTGGTAGCATTATATGGATGTCATAGTTCAATTTTTTTTTTTTAAATTCCTCTTTCGTTAACCGTAGATGTCATAAGTTATGTTTACATGAGTTTGAAATAAATTGAGTATTTAAAGTTTAAATTTGATTGTAAAAAAAAAAATAGAGAGAATGTTAAAGTTTGGTTTATTTATTTAATTGAGTAAGATTTAAAGTTTAAGTTTAGATTGATTAATAATTTTAGTTGAAGAATGAGTTTACAAGTTTGTTTTTGTTGTTAAGGCTTTAAAATATTATTTAATAGCTTAATAAATAGTTAATATTATACTCAATTACAACATTAAATCATTCTGTATATTTTAATATTTCTTAATTTTAAAAATTGTCATTAATATATTTTATATATTCCTTATTTTAGAGTTACCACTTTTACAACTCTTCTCACTTATTGTTGTATGTATATATGTATAAACATTCAACAACAATTTAATAAGATCATTCTTCTTAATTTGTCTTAGAATTAGAGTTGTTCAGTTCTAAATGCCTAATAAGTCATAGCCTTTGCTACAAACTCTATTTAAAGGAATAGTCTCCCTTCAACCGTCCCTATCAAGTTGGCCAAAGACATGGAAGTTTCTCCTTTTGCCACTAATCATAGGGAACAAGTTAGATAGTTTCATTCTCAAAATAAAAAAGTGTCATGAATAATTTATCACTAAAGTTTCAAGCAAAATGACTAATCCCTACTTATGAAGAACAACAAACCAGTAATCAACAACTTCTCGGGTGGTTATAACACAATGATAGTAGATGTTGCAACACAACTACTCCATTGTGAAATGTCCAAAGAGATACACCAAGTCTCGAGTCACCCTGTTGAAGATTAAATTTCACAATACTTGCACGAGATAATTGAAAATGGAGGAATATCTTATCAAGATGAAAACTTTGGCAGACAACATCAAACTTGCAGGGAGCCCAGCTTTAACTTTTGATATGATCATACAAACTCTTGTTGAATTGGATAGTGAGTATAACCCTATTGTTGTCTAGTTATCTAAGAAATAAAGCATGACTTGAGTTTATATGCAAGTTCATCTTTTGGCATTTGAAAACAAAATAGAACAATTGAACAATTTTTCAAACCTCACAATCAATGCTTCTACTAATGTGGTCACGTATAATACAATGAGCATGGAATTCAATCATAACAACTGGAGAGGCATATTCTAGAGATGATTTAGAAGAAGAAGAGACAAAGGTAAATCCACTATAGACAAATTGATTTGCCAATTATGTGGAAAGCTTGGACATTTAGTTGCGGACTATTTCTATAGATTTGACAAGACCTAAATTGGCCATTCCCCCAGAAGAAAACAAGTAGGAAAAGCTTGGAAATCATAATTATAGTGCATTTGTTGCTAGTTTATATTCAAGAAAAGAATTCAAGTTGGTATTTTGACAGTGGCATTAACAATAATGTCATGCATAACTCTAATCCTGTTTCAATAATTTTTGTATCATGCTAGTAAGAGTAATCTTATAGTTGGTAATGATGAAAAACTTAAAATTATTGCATAGGGATCTACTACTCTTAATACTAATCAAAGGCCTCTAAATTTGAATCAAGTCTTATATGTGCCTAAAATTACTAAGAATCTATTAAGCATATCAAAACTTATTGCTAATAATGATATTTATGTTAACTTTCATGAGAATAATTGCTTTGTGAAGGACAAGGTAACAAGGAAGGTACTATTGGAAGGGATGATTAAGGATGAACTATACCAGCATTCTAGTGTCACCCCTTATTTCTTTGGACTTATTGCATATTTGTCTGTCAAAGAAAGTTGGCATAAAAAGCTTGGTCACCTAAATACTGATGTTTTGAAGAGCTTTAACATGAAAATCCCAACTAATGATAATTTTTCCTTTTGTGAAGCATGTCAATTTGGAAAATTTCATACTTTACTATTTAGCATCTCAAATTCTTAAGCTTAGGAACCCCTTGAGTTAATTCACACAAATGTTTGGGGTCTAACACCAATATGGTTGAAAATTAGTTCAACAAAAGAATCAAGGTGTTGGAATGTGATGGAGGGGGAGAATACATAAACTTTCATAAATTGGCCCAAGATTTAAGAATCTAACTGAGGTTGTTTTGTCCTTTCACTTATGCTAAAAATGGTAAAGAAGAAAGAAAGCATAGACACATAGTGAAGTTGGGATTTACTATGCTAGCACAAGCAAAAATGTCTTTCTATTTTTTGTGGGAAGCCTTTTGTACAGTAGTTTACTTAATAAATAATTTACCTATACCTGTGCTTGAAAATCAAACTCCCTACACACTATTGTTTCATAAGAATCCATAATAAAATAAGTTGAGATCTATTGGTTATCCATGCTTTCCTTGTCTCAAACTCTATAACAAGCATAAGTTGCAATTCAACACAAGGTGTGTGTTTCTCGGTTACAACAACTCTCATTAAGGTTACAAATGTCTCAACTTAATTAAGAGAATTTTCATCTCAAGACATTATTTGATGAGGAACACTTTTCCTTCTATGAAGGCTTTCTTAACATCATGAAACCAATTAATATTTATTGTGATTGTATTGTATTCTTTTATTTTCTTTCTGCTGCAGGTGACTTTGAAACTCAAAATGTAATTGATCTTCAAGCAAGTGATGTAGCAAGCACTAGTAGCAGCGGATTAAAAAATATTAGCAGCATAAGCAACCATGATAAATCTATTGAAGGTAGTGAATTAGGAAATACAGGTAGTAGAAACAACAAACCTATTACACTTGTTAACAATTTTGCACCTTAAATATATAGCAAAATGATGCATTTGGAACTAGTGATACAGTGAGAACAACTAATGATGATGTCGTGGCAACAACTAATGATGTGTTAACAACCCTAGGAAACATTCATAGAATGTGTATAAGAAGCAAAGTTGGCATCTTCATACCTAAGAATTCCTTTGTTGGGATAACTTAGAAGTTACTTGATGACAAAGAGCTTAAGACAATCCAGGAAGCACTACATGAACCAAAATGGAGGAATGTTATGGAATCTAAATTCAAGGCACTTATATCTAATAAAACTTGGACTTTAGTGCCATATCAAGGGCAACAAAATATCATAGACTCAAAATGGGTCTTCAAGATAAATACAAGGCAGATAGTACTATAGAAAGGAAGAAGGTAAGATTAGTTGCTAAAGAATTTTAATAAACAACATGCTTGAACCATGAAGAGACATTTAGTCTAGTAGTCAAGGTAAACAATGAGAGAATTATTTTGTCTATTGCTATTCACTTTGATTGGGAGTTTAAAAAAATAGACATTAATAATGTTTTCCTAAATGAATACTTTAAGCAGACAGTCTTCGTGCACTAGCTAGAGGGTTTTGAAGATCCTACCAAACCACAACATGTATGCAAGTTAACAAGGTGGATCTATGGACTAAAAAAAGGCTCAAAATGGCCTTGCTCAGTTGGAGATTTCATAATACCAAAAGTGATTCATCACTATTTTATCTTAGAGAGAAAAATTACATCACCTACTTGTTTATCTATGTTGATGATATTATAGTGATAGGGAGCAATTCCAGCTTTGTAAGGAGCTTTGTCAAGTGACTAAACTTGTTATTTGTGTTAAAAGATCTTAGTGAATTACACTATTTCCTTGTAGTTGAGGTGAGTAGAGACTCAGGTGACATATACCTTATACAAACTAGATATGGTTACAAGAAAACAATTTACAACAAATGGAGAGTTAATGAAAAATCCTTCCTTATTTCAAAAGGCAATTGGAACACTTCAATATTTAATAAATGACTAAACTTGTATTTTGGTCCTTGAAATAGTGAGTGTCAAGTATTTCAGTCCCTGAAATTTTAAAAATGTCACGTTAGTCTCTGACTTCTATCTTTGTCAGACATTTAAGGCCCTAGACCTATACACTGTTAATAAACAATAATAGAATGTTAACATGTCACATGTAATTGATTACGTGACAAAAACGATGTTGTATGTGGTATGCTATATGTTTTCATTTCATTTTAGTCTTTGAGATTGTTACCCGTTGGCATTTAGTCCGTGAGATTGTCATCAATGGATATTTTAGTCCATGGTTCTTAAAACTTTTCAACTACCCATCATTCTTCTTCTTCATTCTCTTGAAAACTACCTTGCCGACTACAAGATTTTAGTCAGCTTACACAAAAATGCTTCCCATCGAAATCTCAAAACTATGTACTAGAAATATGTACATGAAATTCTCAACTGTTGATAAAGGAGGTGTCACTTTCTTACATCCACGAGAAGATATCGAAAAGCATTTATAGCATCTTAGTGCATGCTTGATTCCACATAAATTAAAATATAGTTTGTTAATTTGGATATGCATTTGAACCAAATTAACACAAATTAAAACACTTTTAATCCATTGGTTGGACTATCTCACGTTTTGAATATACTTAGGCATAATGATAACTCTCTTGGCATGAATGACGTAGAGGTTGGTGTCCTTACAGAGACCAACAAGATTAGCTTCAGCGACTTCTTGAAGAGTAGAGACGACACTGCTCTAAAACCTAATATCAATTTTGAAATCATTAGCGATTTCTCTCACTAGTCTTTGGAATGAAAGGAGGCTAAGAATGGTTATGGTGAGAAGGTAGCTAGCAAGGGTAGCTTTCAAGAGAATGAAGAAGAAAAAGGATGGTTAGTTAAAAGGTTTTAAGAACCAGGGAATAAAATGTCAATCAGTGACAATTTCAGGAACTAAAATACTAGATAGGTGATAATCTCAATGACCAAAATAAAATAAAAATATATACCATACCACATACGACGTTATTTTTATCACATAATGAATCATACGTGTCACTTAACATGATATGTCAGCATTCTGTTATTGTTTATTACTGGTGTCTGGGTCTAGGGACTTGACTATCTAATGGAGATAGAAGTCAAGACTAACGTGACATTTTTAAAATTTTAGGGACTAAAATGCCATACGTTTACTATTTCAACGACCAAAAGAAAGGTTTAATCTTTAATAAGTACTAGACTAAACATTCTCTATTTAGTCAATAAGTTAAGTCAATACATGAATTTCCTAATGGTATAACATTGGTAACACATAAAAAGAATCTTTAGATATCTTCAAGGAACAATCTAACCCTCCCTCCACATCAAACCCTCAATTGATCTTTAATGTTAATTGGGTCACTAATATGGATAATAGGAAGCCAGTCGTTGGTTATTGTATTTTCTTGGATGAAATTATCATTAATTGGTCTTCAAGGAAGCAAATAGTGGTGTCTAGATCAAGCACAAAATCAAAATATAAGGCATTAGCAGAACTGGCTGCAGAAGTTACTTGGATCAAGTCTTTTTTACAAGAAATTCAATTGCTTTTACCCAAAACATCAGTCGTATGGTGTGACAATTTGAGTGCCAAAGCCTTGTCTTCTAACAATTACTTCATGCAAGATCAAAACACATTGAGATTAATGTTTTCTACATTAAAGACCAAGTATTGCATAATCAAGTTTCCATAGCTTATATGTCCTCTACTAATCAAATCGCTTATTGTCTTACCAAGGCCCTTACACATACTCGGTTCACTCAACTTAGGGACAAACTTGGGATGGTCCCACAACCCACTTGTTTGAGAGGAGCAGTTGAAGAATGAGTCTACAATCTTGTTGTTAAGGTGCTGATATGCTACTTAATAGCCTAATAAATAGTTCAAATTGTATACAATTATAAGTCATCAAATTATTCTATTTATTTTAATATTCCTTAATTCTAGGAATTTTAATCAGTATATTTTGTATATCCCTTATTCCAGTTACCACTTTTACAACTCTCGTCACTTATTGTTGTATGTATACTTATGTGTAAACATTCAACAACAATTTATTACAATCATTCTCCTCAATTTCTGTCTATTTTGATGTTTGAGTTTTACTTACTAATTTATTTATAGTGTTAGTGTGTGTGTGTGTGTATGTGTGTGTTTAATAAATAAATGAGCCTAATTGAACATGTAATGAGTCGAGCTTGAATAGTTCATTAGCATGTTACCTCATTTATATTCCTAATTAAGGTAACTTATTTTGAGCTTATGAAACAAGGGTCTTGACAAAGGGAAAAAAAAAATGGCGATTTGGATATGAAACAAACAAAAAAGTATTAAAGGAGTCATCACTAAGATTTATAAAAAATCTTTAAGAACTTAAAGAAAAATTATTTGTTTAATAAGATATGAGTTCTTGAGTCTAATTTTGTATGGAGAAGGTGTTAGCACTTCTTGACATTGGAAAAAAAAGGTTATTTTAAATTGCACAAAAGTCAAAGTTTTATTTTATTTCCAAATTTTAATATTTTATTTATTAAAAAAGAAGAAAAAAGAAGAGAGAAAAGATGTTTTAAAATAATTGGGTTTGACAAGGTTTAATTTTTGTTTCTATATATTTTCTAGTATAGTAAGGAAATTAAGGCTAAAATGAAAAACCATTTTAAAAGATATTTATTTGAGAATAAGAAAATTGAATGTAAAACCATTTTGATATGTATTTACAAATGGAAGCAAGCCATTTGAGGTGTTGACATAATTGAGAGAGAGATATCTTTTTTATTTAGTTTTTTCTAAAAAATAGATAAAAGTTTTAATTTTAAGATTGTATAATTTGTGAATGACATAGTAATTTATATATCATTATGTTTAATTGTTATATGAATTTAAAAATTTATTATAACTTTTACATAAGAAAATATCTAGTATTTAAAAATTAAAAAAAATTAAAGTAATTCACATGTTATGTACAAGTTACTTAGATAATGTAGTTAAAATATTATTCTTACAATTTTATAACTTGTGAATGATAAGATAATTTATAGATAGTTATTATAAATCATTGTGTTTATGATTCAGCTTAACTTTCATACCATTATTTTGTTTATGATCCAACTTAGATAGAAGTATATCATTAGGACTCATTTTTTTTAACCATGAGGCATAGGAGCCTCTTGAGACTCATATGATCTATCTTGACCCATATCTTGAGTAGAATTACCTAAAATATCAAAAAGATAACCTAACTATGCCTCTTTCCTTTTCCCATTACTAATAGGGTTACTGTTCAATTAAGAGTAATTTGATTTTTTCTTAAAAGTTTTTTTACTAGCATCCAAGGACCAAAGTAGTCTATATATTTAATATTACTCCTCTCCTGGCTACCCTGAGTTTGCTCTATGTCTTCTTCCTGTATCATAGAAGACTCCCCATGTTGCTTTTCTAACTTGGAATTATCACTAGCCATTTGATTATTATTATCATTGCTATATTTGGAAATTTTAGTGCAAATCTCCTACCTATACTTATACCTTCCACATTTGAAAACAAATTAGATGCAAACCCTTATATTTTACCTTCAATTCTTGACCAAGAACTCTAAAGGAGGAATTAGTGTTTTTCAAAGGTCTATTTCTATGCAAATTCTGAAAAATCTACCCCTGAAAAACAAATATGTGTGAGGATCAATCTTTTAACATTGATCCCATACAGACTCTCACTTGCCACAAGAACTTTTCATTATATAATTCTAAGAAGAGATCAGGGATGTACCCAAGCATCAATCTTTCTAGGGCTATAATCTTTTTGCCTAAATAGGGACTGCCATCTTTGAACAAGGAGATATTGATTTAGGATAAGTCAAAGCCTCTCAAATAAATCTCGCTTATAGTCCTCTATGTTATCAAATTTTACAAAAAATAAAATAAAAAAATTCACTTTTGAGATCCAGGATCTTAAGGAGGCCATTTTCCCCTTCCTCCTCAAATATTACTTAATTTCTGATTTAGGTAGTTAAAGCTAATAGTTTTACCTATAAGTTTAACTATTAGAGTAGATTTCCATGGAAAACACCATGTTTCATAGTCCTCTAATGTGATTTTTAAACTAGAGCACAGATCTTGGGTTTTATCAAAAATTTCATTTGGTTCTTCATTATCAGAGCCAATATTAAAGTTCTCAAAGATAGATTTGACTATTTCCTCATCTCCTAGAACAAGATCTAACTCTTTATGTTCAATAACCTTATCTTTATAAGATATTCAGATCTAACAAGTTTCGAAAGCAACTGATATGTGTGCAGATTTGTACAAATCTCTTCCTGCATGTTCTTCCTTAACTCATCCATAGGTGATGCAGTATCAACCTTGACTTTCTTTGTGCTTCAGTTCATCTGATCTAGCTCCTCCGTCGAGTGTTTTTCAGCTTACAGACGCTCCATCCTGCAAAGGCCACTGGGGTAGTGAACTTCTTTAGGGGTGACACCGTTGAAGGCCTTTGAACCCTTAAGACACGTCAGCGCTCAAGCTAAAAAAAAATCCTATAATAAGAAGTCCTAAGAAAACACTACTCTCAATTCTTAGAAACACTAGAAAGGAACCTTGAAAATGCTCTTTGAAGTCATCTTTAATTGTGCTTTGATATAAGGATTATTTATACTTTATTTGATTGAATAATTAAATTTATATTAATTTTTTAAACTAAAACAATCATTCTTTTAAAATTAATCGTTACTAAATATTTTTTTACGTAAATTAGAAGGCTCAAAACAATAGTTTTTTTTATTATTTTTTTTCTTTTTCGTATATAATCTTAAAATATGTGCTCATATTTTTTTTTCAATAGATTAGAAATGACAATGTTAAAAATTGAGTAAAATATTATAATATTTTTTATATTTATATTTTTAATAAATTATTTATCTTTAAAATCAAAATATATACCACATCTCAATCTCATTTCAAATTTCATATAACAAGTTTAAAAATATGTCAAAGAAGAGTTTGAGGAGAGTATTATAATATCTAATATTTATTTTTATATTTATATTTTAAAAAATAATTTTGCCTATTCTCATATTTGTTAGATAATGATTTTGATTTTTATTTTTGTACTTAAATTTCTATACATGTACTCATTACGTGTAGTTAGTTTACCAAAATATACTTTTTTCCTAATATTTTTCCATAAATTATTATCATTGTCAAAAAATAAATTTTAAATTACTTTCAATAGTGTATAATTTTTAAAACACTGTAATAATTTTCATGAAAACATTATTCTTTAGCAAGTGAAAATGAATGACATGACTTAAAAAGAAAAAGGAAAAAGAAAAGACTCAACGAGCTGGCAAACCTGTCGCTAATATTTTATATTTTCGTCATATTATTTTATTTTATTTTTGCTTTCTTTTTATAGAGAGTCCCTCTTTTCCTTATAGATTCTCACAAAAGCTATTTTTTTGGGAACCGTCGTTTGATGGCCTTTGTATTTGGAAGTAAATGTAGTGTTACGTCTTACTTGGGCAAAACAATAAAAAGTTATCATTTTTTGCTTTTTTTCACAGTTAATACATCATTTTTTTATATTCAACGGGCTAACAAAGCCCAAACAGTTCATAGATATTATATATTCAAAAAATATTTGATCTATTATTAAAATTATTTTTTAAATTATTTACATACTTTTTTTATAATTTGTATAATATATATTTTACATAATAAAAAGTTATTCACAAAAGATCAATTTAAAATGATTTAAATAACAAATTCTACATTACCTCTTTGAGTAGAAAGACATGATTGCCATGCATCATTGGGATGACTATAGAAAGTAAAATTCTCTCCAAAATTATTTGAAGCAATGCAATTTTAGAACCCGAAATACAATTTAAAGATACTATATAGGTTACACAGCGTGCAAAAATAACAAAAGTTCGAGGGATAAAACAAAACCAGAAGCGAATCCAATATCAATAATTACATTGCATTGAAAGAATGCAGTGAAAAAGAAAAGAAAAGGAGCCCAAGAACAGTATCACCGTGGGATTTCCTCGTTATCTTTGTTCCTTTGTGGTCGGTTACAACAGGCTAGAGATGGCACATACAAAGAGTCCAATAATGAGAAGTGAAAAATTTGAAGTTATCTGAGGCGTGGAAGAAGGAGACATTGGAATGGTGCCAAACACAGTTGGATAAGAGGGTGCGTTTGCAGGCAATGAAGTTGGAGAAAGTGCATTCACGTTTCCCCCAACTCCCACAGTTATACGAAGCTTTTGATTCTTTTGGCAGTGGCCAGGCTCACCGCTAGTGAAGTAGAAGTTCCCCTCTGATGTAATGTTAAACAAAGAATTGCCATTGTTCATATACAAGATTGGATCTTTAAGGTTGCAGCTCTTGTAGGACTCCTCTGTCACTTGAATCACCGAATCTTGACTTGGTGGGTATAGAAACACTGTGTATAAAAATGAACATATTAAGCAATGTCAATTAGTATAGAAAGGAAGATAGATTGAAGTAACTTACAGAGCGAATCACCAATGGTGAGGTTGTGATATTTGGACCATTTGTCGTATACTTGTGAATTTAGCGAAGTGGGGATTCCCCAGGCATGTAGATCTCCAACTTTGAACTGGTAGCATAGCACCTTGGTTTGGATTTGGAGCAACGTAACCAAGAGACACGCCAAGAAGCGGTTAAATCTAGGACTTGGACTTGTGAGATTGAGCATCTTGGTTCTGTTCTGCGTCACGCTAACTTGGATTTTCTTTGATTTAGAAGCTGAGGGAGAAGGATGCATCTAATTGGTTCAGTGTGCTACCGACATGGTTGATAATGACATCTCGTAGGGTTCGCCATTACCTATAGGTCAAACTATAAAAGGTAAATTTACGTCTGTGCCCTCTTCCTCGCTATTATTTAATTATATTTGAACTTCATTATGTTTTTAATTTTTTAATTTAGATTGTATGTTGTCTTGATTCTTTATTTCTTTCTTAGTAAATTATTTTCCTTTTAAGTTATACAACTTTAATTTTTTTGGAGCTCTTTTTATTTAGATTTTTTATTTTTTACTAAATTTTAAGAGACTTGTTATAAATGACAAAACTTAAGTATAGTAGTACCTATGGTTCTATTAGTGTTGTTCTCCTGGTAGACTTGAAATTTTACATGATAATGTTTATTGACCTTTAATTGTAATATGCTAACGTTTAATGTTAACTTTTATTATACAAATTACTTTATTGAGATAAAGCTTTAATTTTGATTAAAAGATAACGTTTATAATATTCATGATATTTCACTTAAATTTTGTTTATAATAACATTAGCACATGAAATGAGTAAATTTTAGAAATAATATATTATTGAAATATAATAAAATTTTAAAAACTTTATAAAATTGATTAGATTTGGAAAAAAGAGAAATTTAAAATATTTTATAAAATATAATATTTAAATAAAAATTTATTTTAACTGATTTAATTTGTAAAACTTTAAATAAGAAATAAAAATTTAAGAGTTTTAAATAGAATAAAATTAAAATATGACTAGCTTTCCTAAAGCTTATTTGTGGTGGTGATAACTTTCTAATTTTTAGTTTTTAAATGCAAATTCTAAAACAAAGCATATTTAACTAAAATAAAATTGAATTGATTTTTAATTTAATTTTAAAATTAATTCAATTTAATTTTAAAATAATAAAATAAAAAATTGTAGTTATACAAAAGACTTATACACCTTGATTCCTATTGTAATTAATTACTTCTTTCTATTTTTGTTATAACTATCATAATTATTATTACTAATTGATGACTACTTTCTTCTGTGTTACTACTATTATTACATTATTCCTACCAATTATTGTCTTGGAAGCATTACTTCATTTATTATCACCATTGATATCAATTATTTTTTTCAATCATTCACCATTAGTATTATTAGTATTATTGAACTATTGTTACTTTGATTATCATCTTTATCATTGTTGTTATATATCATCAACATTAATCGTCATTATTATCATTACACTATTGTCACTTTGATTATTATTTTTACCATTGTTGTTGTATATCATTAACATTAATTATCGTTATCATAATTATTGTAAGCTTTGTCACCATTACAATCAATCGCCTTTTTATTATTTTCCTTTTAATTACTTTGACATCTTATTATTATCATCACTACTGCTACAATAACTATCTACTATCATTACAACTATTGCATTGTGACTATCATCTTCTTTATTAACATTATCATCATCATCATTACCATTGATTATCCATTATTATCCTGCCTTTTAATATTTATTACTATTACTATGATAAGTCAATTTATCTTTAACAAATAAATCTAAATATATTTTAAAATTAAAATATAAGAACTGAAAGATAAAACCAAAATCATAAAATTAAAAACATATTTTAGTTTTAAAAGTTTTTAAAAGCTTAAAATAGACTGTAAATTTTAAATTTTGGAAAACTTAATTAGCTAAAGAACTTATAAAAGACTCTAAGTTATACATAATCTAAATTAGAGACTAAATATAATAAGTCAAATTTTAAAAAAAATTAATTGCAGCTTATGATTTATTTAATTGGATTCCAATTAATTTTTTCGTCCATATATTTAATCTTTTTATGTACTATAGAGGGTTAAGATTGGAATCAAAACAGATAAAACATTATAAGGTATATATAATTTGCACACGTGCCCAGCTGCCAACCTGTATTTCTATAAGATTTTGCAAATGTGCTAATGGGTGCATGACAGTATTACATTGTCATGTGCAGCATAGATACAGCACAAAACAAGTTGTCTAGGCAAATCACATGGTTGGCGAAATAAAATTATGTGAATGAAAGAAAATAAGAGCAGATTTAGTCCAACCCAAGTTGTCTATGCATTGCCGAAGGCTTGGACGATGATAAAAAAATATCGAAGGAGATTAAAAGAGAATAAATATAAAATAAATGTTTAAGATAAAAGAATATGACAAAATTATAATTAAAAATAATTTATTCTTATTTAGTATTATTATATTATTCTTATAAATGTTGAGGGAGTAATTCAAAGTTATTTTACTTACTTGTCTGTTAGGAATTATTGATTGTAGTTAGTATGAGCTTAATTGTTTAATCAACCAACAATGATATAAATACATGTACAATATTTAAATGAATATTCATCAGAAACTATTTTTCTGTATACCATGCTAACTCTAATAAATTGGTATGAAGAGCCTCTTTTCTTTCTATCTTGGACCTGGAGATTTGAGAGCGATCTATGCTGTGTGACTTACTTTGCTGCATTTTGTGCGTGTGAATGAGTACTGCTGAATACCATGACTTGGTCAAATACGAACCTTTTTGGTAACCTACCCATTCTAGATGGCAAGAAATGGGACTTACGGAGGGTGCAAATGAAGGTCCTATTTGGATTTCAAGATGTGTTAAATATTGTGCAACATGGGTACCCGGATTTGAGTGAAAACTCCACGACCATTTAGCAAGTCACATGCCAGGAAAAAAAAAGAGAGAGATTGCAAAGTTATGTTTCTCTTGCACCAGTGTGTTGATTTTGCTCAATTTGAAAAGATAGTCTTAGCAACAAAAACAAAAAAAAGCTTGGGAAATTCTTGAAAAGCCATGTGCTGGAGATGCCAAGCTCAAGAAGATAAAATTTCAGAGCCTATAGAGACAATTTGAGTTGCTAAAAATAGAGTCCTAAGAAAATATCATATTACTTTAAAAAGTTGTTAAGTTTTGCCAATCCAATGAAAGCCTGTGGTCAAACAATGTCAAATCATATGGTAATTGATAAGGTGATGCACACTTTGTCTCTAATATTTGACTACATAGTAGTAGCTATTAAGTCCAATGATATTATAACAACTCTATTATTCACAAGCAAAATAGAACTGAATTGAAATGAAAATTATGTTGGTGAAACTCTGCGGTTTGTATATACTGTTATAAGTGTAATCAAATGAAAATAATTTGTAATTGAAACAAATTAACAACTAAGACAGTATAATTTAATAACTTTACAGAATGCTTAACAATTAGCATCAGCAACCTAGCACAGAGAAGGTAGAGAAAGAACAGATCAGAATTTTAGAACAAAACCGATAATTAGGAAGAAGAGAATCATTAGAAAGAAAGGCTCACCACACACATAACCTTCTCAATAAGCATAGCCCTCCAATAAAACATTCCTCTACTTTGCTTTCGTCCTTTTCCTTGTGACCCCTTCTAGATCCTTAGCCATATCCCCTTCATGCGTAACTAACTTTTCCATATTTTATTGCTCCACTTGTTGGGTTAGGAGAGTTTGGTTTGAGCCTTGATTTGGGATGCATGTTACAATACTCTCCTCATAAAAAATAACCTTGTCCTCAAGGTTGAATTGAGGATAAGATTCTCTAATAGTCTCGAAATCCTCCCAAATGGCTTTATTGAAATCAGTGGGAGTATTGAACAAGGACTTGAGGCACTTTCTTGGAGTGACAAATGATGGTGCAATAAGCAAGGGCTTTCAATAGTTGAACTACAGGACCTACTTCATTGGTTGTTAAGGGCAATGGTATATAAGGTTGTATGGAGTTGCCTAAGAATTTCTTCAACAGTGAAATGTGAAAAATCAGATGAATTCTAGCAGTATCTGGCAACTTTATCTTATACGCCACTGAACCAATCCGAGACAATACTTCAAGAATCCAAAGTATTTTATGCCTAATTTCTGACTTTTTCTCAAAACCACCGAGTGCTGTCCATATGAGTGGAGTTTAACCAAAACTAAATCACCCACCACCAATTGCATTTCTCTTCTATGTTTGTTAGCTTGCGGCTTCATGCAGCTTTGAGCCTTAAGCAAATTGAGTTTAAACTGCTACATTAATTCATTTCTAACTCGACAGATATCGGTTCTCCGGAATGACTTTCATAATGTGCAACAAATGGTGGATCACGACCATATAAGGCCTTCAATGGAGACATACAAAGGTTGTGATGAAAACAAGAATTGTACCAAAACTGAGCCCACGGAAGCATCGGATACCAAGTTTTAGGATTATAAAAAATGAAGCAACGAAGATACATCTCCAAGGTTTTTTTCAAGACCTCAGTTTGCCCATCACTTTGAGGGTGATAAGCAAAACTCATAGCTAAAGTGGTACCTTGGGCTTTAAACAGTTGCTGCCAAAATGAACTGAAGAAAACTTTGTCACAATCTAACACAATTAATTTGGGAATTCTATAGAGCTTCACAATGTGATTAATGAACAGGCTTCAGCTACACCTTTGCTAGTAAAAGCTGCCTTCAAGGCAATGAAATGTCCAAACTTAGAGAGTTGATCCACAACTACCATGATAGTAGAGTACCCATGAGAGAAAGGCAAGTTGGTTATGAAATCCAGAGAAATATCACCCCACACATGTTGTGGAATAGGCAGGGGTTGTAACAACTCTACAAGTAGAGTTTGATCTACCTTCACTTGCTGACATATTGCACATTCTTTCACCAATTTTTGTATATCATCCTACATCTTTGGCCAATAGAACTGAGAACAAATCCTGGCAGATGTTTTGGTTACTCTTGCATGACCACCTATTTTGAACCATGAAACTCATGTAACACTTGTCAAATTAATTCTTCCTTCTGAGGCAGTACAATTTTGTCCTTACATAATAAAAGACTGTTCTTAATTGTATAATCCTTACTCTGTAATGAATTAACTTTACATTTGTTATAAAGCTCGAGTAGTCTATAATCTTCTTGAATCAAAGTTGCTACTTTATGTAACCATGTACTAACAGGTTC